TCTTCATTTTCAATTTTTCATCTTAAGAGTGGATATAAAGACATGTGTTAGATGATGAATTTGAACATGGGAGAGTGACACCAAGATGCATACAACGCAGTGAAGAGATTCGGGCCGTTGAGATTGTCAGCCTCTTTTTTAGAAAACATTTGAAGTGTAATTACAATATTCGAAAACTCATCCTTAACTAGATTACAATTACATAAACCAAAAAGTTTGAGTTGTAAAAGATCCAACCATCAATGATTTACTAAAGAATGACGAAAGGAAATGGATACGTCGACCACGATAGTAGCAAAATGAAGATCATTTACGCTTTGTAGTTTGTAGTAAGGTTGAGAACTCCCGGTAAACACGTTCAGAACCATGGCTAACAAGTAACAACATGTTTAGAGGTTTTAAACTATTCCCTTGTTTATGTATCTTTGGATTTTTTTCGTTTGTGTTTCTCCTTCAAACTTGAAAAAGAATTTATAATAAGTTGTTGGTTGTATTATATAATCTAATGAAAATTATGTTATATTCAACTTATTTCTTGTTTGTGAATACATTGTTCTTCCGTGTTTAAATCGTCTTGTTCATAACACCTGACTTAATGAAAACAACTAGACTGATTAAAATCCCATTATTTTCATTGTAAAAGAAGGAATGTCTAGTTACTAAAATTAAAATGTAACCAAAATATTGTTTAATGTTTTGAGAAATTCTATGAGATGCAATTCATGAATATGCTCTAAGTTTCTAAATCCGTCATTATTTCTATTAACGAGTAATATATGAGGAGTAACCGGGTAAATAGGTTTTATAAATTTTACTCAAGTAAACAAAACTTTCTCTTGAATATTTTTTGTTGATGAAAGAAATTATATGAACCAATATGTTCTAACATGGATAATACTCACCGCAGCCGAAAAAACGGAGTGAAATAAATAAACTATTTTGGGAAATAAAAGCGATACAATTTCTCTCAATCTTCACTTATACTTTCTAAGTGCGGCCTCCAAACGCCGACGCGTCCCTTCCTCCGATCTTTTTGCGTCGCGACTTTCTCCGACAATATCTCCGTCAAGTACCGGTCAGAGATCAACGGCGATAAATCTTTGTCGTAACTTATATCTTTATCATTATTTCCCCCATTAGACTTCTCATCACAGCCTTCACGATGCCGGCGATTCTGTGAACGCTTCTTGACGGCGTTTGCGTTTCCCTTTTCGCGGCGGATCTTTCCTCCGGCGTGTTTATCGGATTTAGTTGCCGGCATGAGGAAATAAATCTTGCCACGTTGGAGCTCAGCTTCGGGAGGAACGATGACGATCTTTGTGGGTGAGATGACGTCATCACGGTCCTCATGATCGGACGGCGGAGAAGATGGTTTCTTGAGTACGTGCTTCGGGTGAGCCATCATTATTTCGCTGGCGGTGATCGTGCCACTGATTTCCTCCACGTGTCCGTTAGCGTGTACGATGCGGATCACGTCCAGAGCTCCACACGGTAGAATGCAGGCGATGCAGCACCTGATTGTCTCTTTCATTCTCTTTGTTTTTTTCTTAATTACGAAAAATATATAATTTAAAGACTTTAGTTCTTGTGAAAATCATCAGAGAATGTCGAGATGAAAATGAGAGAAATAATGAAAGAGAAGAGAGAGACGTAAGGCAAGTGATCTTGAAGAGAGAAGCTTTTGATAAGAACTAAATTTTAAATTGTATTTCTTTCTTTTCCTCTTCCTCCTTTTTTATTTGATGAATTTAGACCATCTGTGTTTATTATTTATTTATAGTCATTTTTTTGGTGCGTTTTTTTTTTTTTTTTTGGGAGTAGTCGTCTTATAGTGTGTTTTTAATTTTGTAAAACATTGTATAATGTATATCGTATCTGTGTGAGTGTATTATATATAACTTTATGGTTTCTGTTAGTTGCTCCTTTCCTGCTCTTTTTCAGCGGCTGGGTTTTAGAATATATACGTTGAATCACTCAACTCTTTTCTATTTCTTTTGGCATTGTTTGAATTTTAAATATTCCCTGAACTAGCATTTACCTAAAGCTTATGGAAGGTTTTGAAACTTTCTTTAGCGGTGTTGTTCATTTATTTATAATACATATGGAACTACAAATTGTGATCTGTATAAAATAATAATGAGATAACTAAGTGGGGTTTGTCCTTTTGATTGAGATGGGAGATCGATGATGATGTATATATATGTCTCAAAGTCCAAAATACAATAGCAATATTAAACTTTAAAAGCTTGGTATATATTCATTAATAAAACATTCCTTTGAAACAGAACATAACCATACGAATATGTAGAATAGTTTGAATAAAACCTTAATATAAACAAACAAATGAAGTAAGGAGAAAAAAGAGGTCAAATAACATATAAATGTAGACAAATATGAATGGAATTTGGTTTTATTTTTAATGATGGGGAGAGGGAACAAAAGAGGGGTTGAGATAGATGGAATGAATAATTGCACCCAACGATGTAATGTAAATGTACTTTACCTTTTGGATCCATCGTCTATTAGCATTTGAGGGGACCCCTCTTCTTCGCTATAAAGCTTTCAATTATTTTTCTTCTTCTTCTTCTTTACTTTTTTAATTACCCTATAATTAATTTCAATTTTCATAATGCACAATGTGGTTCATCTAGGCTGGGTGTTTATGGGACACATGTTGTAGCATCATTGGGTCTCCATTATGTATACATCAACATCACACATTTTACACATCATTTTTCAAAGTTTCAGCAAGTTAGAGCATCGGTATTGATGATCTTATCAAGGGAATGCTCTTAAAAAAATTATTATTAAAAAAAAGTTTTGATTAAAAAAAAAAGTAAATGTGATGTATCGTGTTTTGCCACGTCAGATGAGAGACGATTCTACAGACTTTGCGCAGAGAATCGATTGTTGCAGAATCTCACCACATCATTTTTTTAAATTTTTTTTCTTTAGAACTGTTATACGGCTCACCAATACTGCTGCTCTTAAGCCTAGATTTAAGACAATAGTCAGATAGTCGATATAGTCGCGGACCAATCAGTTAGATTTTTGTTAATTAAAACAGAATTTAAAACGATGTCTGTTCTCTTAATTTGTTACAAAATACTATTTGTTTATCATTAATTCACTAGTTTTCATTAAACTGTAGTTCATGTGTGCATGCATATACTCAGAACATTTAGTAGATTATGCGTCAGTTAATCATCTATTCTTAAACTCACGTACATATCACTTCGTATCTTCGATGAATTGTCGTTATGAATACTTAGATACCAATAGTATTGTACTGAAAGATCGAGTAATAATTTTGTTCAATTAAAATGATCGAGTTCTGATTTTTAGCGTATAAGAAAAGAAATTATGCGGCGCGCGTGAGTGGCTAGCCCTAATCAAGATAATATTATACACGATTTCAATATAAATTTAAATAATGGTAAAGGGAAAGAAAAAAAAAGAATTACTAGTACAAGTCTAAACCGACACAACAACTATTTGAACCAACTTATTATCTTTGCAATTTGTGTTTTTCATATTCTCTTGTTTGGTGTTAACTTTTTTATTCGTTTTGTTGTTGTAAAGTGTCATCAAAAATCAATTCAATAAAAATAGTCGAAACACTAGTTTGGATTATTTTCAATGAATCATGATATGCACGCACCTTGTTGGATTCAGATCCTAGTGCTTTAATTATTCTTTTCAACATCTTTTTTTTTTTCTTATCAGTTACATTTCGAAAACGTAGCATACGTAATCAAAATAAGGTTAATACAAGCATTGTTAGTTAAATAGATTTTGCTTTGTTCAAGTCTTTATTCCCAACTCTTTCTAACTTCAGACGCTCATTTTCGGAGAAAAACAGACCTTCATTTATTGTGGGTCTCTTCCATAAGACTTCTTTGATTTTAAACAAGATATATATATATATATTATATAAGGAGACTAAAACGATTTATATAAACAGAAAAAGAAAAAGAAAGGAAGGATAATAAGAGAAGTGTGTTTTCAATTTATCCAGAAGCAAGATCATGTGGGTTTGCTTTCCTTTTGAAAGTGATTGACTCATGGACCCCTCCTCCTCTCTCGCTACTCTTTCTTTTACATTTTGGTGTTTGGTGAACTTCTTTTCACTTCTTTTTGAGCTGATTGAATGTTTACAAATGAGTTTGATTGCACGAAGACGAAAGTTAGAAACAAAAAGTTGACAATAAAAGGAGAAAATATGCACATCCACAACTCATACATTATGCAACTCCCTTTTTCATTATAAAAATACATATTAGCTTGATACTGAATTTCAGAGATAAATTTAGATATCCTTATTTAGATGTATAGTTCTTTTACATTCCAATATACTACATCTACCTGTCCCGGTTATCTTTATATTATCCAAGTTTACAATATAAGAAATTATAAAGCAAAATAGCAAATTACATAAAAATAAATTTATTTTGTGGATTTTGTTTTAATAGTGAAAAGTAGCACAAACCATATTCCTTTACATATAAATTAGGATAAAACATTTAGACATCCATAATCAAGAAAAAAAGCGAGAAATTGTTATACTTCTGATGTTTTTTTTTAAATCCAAGTTCGAGTTAACATTCCCGCAAAAATTTAAGAAAAAATGGTCTTAGTAGAATAGAGAGTATCTGAAGGCCCAATAGTAGCCCATATATAAATCCGTTGGTTAAGGCCTTAAGGGGATACAAGCGTGAGTTCCAAGCAAGAACCTCTAAACCTGGCTAAGACCATAAACCTTAACAAGGAGGAGAAAATTATTCATCGGTTGAATTTTTTTCACTACTCAATCAACATAAAGGATTATATCTAAAAACTGAATTTTCTCTTATTCTCCCTAAGTGAAACAAGTGAAAGAAGGTTTGATATTGAGTTTGGATTTTAGAATAATCGAGATTGTTTTCATAATTTTTGAATAATTTAGATATCATAACAACGTGAAACAAGTGAAAGAAGGGAAGAGATGGGAGACCACACCTATGGACATCGCAGCGCAGATCTCAAATGATTTGGCGAATTCCGCGCTGGTTTCATCGGTTAACGGTGTCCTGTGGGACATGAATAAGCCACTGGAAGGTGACTGTTCGCTTGAGTTTTTCAAATTCGAAAGCGACGAAGGCCGTGACACTCTCTGGCGTTCTAGTGCTCTCATTCTCGTCCAGGTTCTCGAGCAAGAGTATGGGTGTAAGCTTTGCATTGAATCCTGCACAAACGAGGGTTTCTTCTACGATGCGTTCTACGGAGATTTGGGCTTAAACGACAAGCACTTCCCCAAGACTGAAGCAGCTGTTAGTGAACGACAACCATTCGAACGTGTTCAAATGACAAAAGATGAGGCACTCGAGATGTTTTCTGATAACAGTTTCAAGGTCGAACTCATCAATGACATCCCCGAGGACGAGGACAAGACCGTTACGGTATACAGATGCGGTCTCTTGGTTGACTTGTGTAACGGACCACATGTACCAAACACTTCCTCTGTGAAAGCTTTTAAGTGTTTGAATGCATCATCAGCTTACTGGAAAGGTAACAGAGACCGAGAAAGCTTGCAGAGAGTTTATGGGATATCATTTCCGGATGCTAAGCAGATGAAAGATTATGAAAATTCTATAGAAGAAGCCAGGAGATGTGACCATAGGCTATTGGGGAGACAGCAAAACCTTTTCTTTTGTGACAAGGCTTAAGGAGTTTATACTTCCACGAACATGGCGTGCTGAAGGAGTTTATTGAGAAAGAATACAAGAAGAGGCGTCACAAGGAGGTCGAATCACCAATTCTATCCGACATGGAGCTCTGGGGAATATCAGGACACGCTGCAAAGTACAAGGAGGACATGTTTATCTTTGACATTGATGGACAAGAATCTGGTCTTAAACCAATGAATTGTCCAGGCCACTGCATGGTTTTCAAGGACAAAGGCTCGCTCGTACAGAGACTTTCCCATTAGAATGGCCGAGTTTGGAGTGTTGCACCGAAACGAGGCAAGTGGAGCGCTTAGCGGGATGACACGTGTCCGACAGTTCGTACAAGACGATGCACACATATTCTGTAGAGCGGACCAGGTCGAAGAAGAAGTGAAAGGTGTGTTGGATTTCGTTGACTATGCTTACAACATATTTGGCTTCTCCTACGAGCTAAAGCTCTCAACGAGGCCAGAGAAGTACCTTGGAGATATAGAAACATGGGACAAAGCTGAGGAGGCTCTTAAAAAAGCCCTAGTAGCTTTTGGGAAGCCGTGGCGTGCGAACGAAGGAGACGGTGCGTTTTACGGCCCGAAGATAGACATAACAGTATCTGATGCAATGACGAGGAGATTCCAATGTGCTACTTTACAGCTTGATTTTCAACTCCCTGCTCGTTTCAAGCTTGAATACACAAGTAAAGATCAAGAAAAGAGGGAGAGACCTGTGATGATACATAGAGCCGTCTTGGGATCTATCGAGCGTATGTTTGCTATATTGTTGGAGCATTACAAAGGGATACTGCCCTTTTGGCTTAGTCCACGTCAGGCCATAGTTTGCACTTTATCAGAGGGATTCAGTAAGTATGCAGAAAAGGTGAGAGATCAGATTGAAGAAGCTGGGTACAATGTTGAGGTTGACTTGAGTGATAGGAAAATCGGTAAAAAGGTGAGAGAAGCTCAGGCTGCACCGTTCAACTACATACTCGTCGTGGGTGAGAGAGAAGCTACAACGGGACATGTGACTGTTCGGCTCAGAGAGGATCCTCCTGGCCGTAAAGACTTGCCGGAGATGAGCATCGAGAATTTGCTGGATGAATTCAAATTCAAGACTGACAACTTTCTCTGAGGTCATGCATGGGACAATGAGTTTTTATTTTTACTTTTCCGTTTTCTTTGGTGATGAATGAATATGGCACTTTTAAATCAGTTTCTAGATGCAAAATTAAAAATATCTAAAAAATCTGGATATTTGAGATACTGAAAAAAGTAGAATCTGAATGCTGCATTTGCATCTCAAAAACCAAAAGACCAAAATATTTTTTAATATGATAGAAATAATATAACAAAATTTATATTTATTGTCTTTTTACCAAAATCGTACAATAAAACCAAAAAATCGTTTTATCCGCCAAAGATTGAGTTTTCCCGCCAAAATCGGAAAATCGAATTTTTTTGCCAAAACTGTAAAATAAAGTTTTCCGTCAAAACCGGAAAATCGAGTTTTCCCACCAAAAGCGGAAAATCGATTTTTCCCATCAAAACCATAAAATCAATTTTTTGTGGCCAAAACTAGAAAATCGAATTTTTCTGCCAAAGCCGTAAAATCAAGTTTTTCCGTCAAAACCGGAAAATCAAGTTTTTCCGTCAAAATCGGAATATCAAGTTTTTCCGTCAAAACCGGAATATCAAGTTTTTCCGTCAAAACCGTAAAATCAAGTTTTTCTGTCAAAACCGAAAAATCGAGTTTTCCACCAAAACTGGAAAATCGAGTTTTCCCGCAAAAACCGTAAAATCAAGTTTTTCCGTCATAACCAGAAAATTAAGTTTTCCTGGCAAAACCGGAAAATCAAGTTTTCCTACAAAAACTGTAAAATCAAGTTTTTTCTTCAAAACCAGAAAATCGAGTTTTTCCGTCAAAATCATGTTTTTCTACTAAATCGTGTTTTTCAGTGAAAATCGCAAAACTAAGTTTTCCTGCGAAAACTGAAAACCGGTATTTTTCCGCCAAAATTGTATTAAAACTATTTTTTGTTAAATTTTATTTTTAGAAAAACTATTAATTTGTATTATCATAAATAAATCATTTTAATTGTAAATAAAATAGATAAATTGAAAATATACTCTTTTAGTCGTTTAAAACATTTTGCATTCAGATTTATTTATAAATACAAAAACAAACAATATTGCATCCAAATGCTATATCCAAATACAGTCAAAATCTAGTTTTGAAAATGAACAATATTTAAATGCTGCATCTGACAATTGTATCTAGATTTAAAAATCGTATCTAGATGCTGAATCTAGATACAACATCTACATCTAGATCAAAAAACGAATATGGCCTATGTGTTTCGTAAAAGGTATTGAGATTTATTTAGTTTAGGGTTTGGCTTTTTCATTATTTGGCCTCGATGACTTTTTTTGATTAAAATCGACTTCTTTTCGTCAAAAATAGCAGAATCACATTTTGACGTTAAAAGTTAATACCATAAAATCATTATTTTCTGCCAAAATCATACAATTTTGCAGCAAAGCCACAAATTTGAGTGACTAGAGGGTTATTTTCGTCATTTACGAGAGTAGGATATTTTTTCTATTAGAAAATAAGTTTGTGGTTAACGGCTTATCTCCAGTCCAAATTATAAAAATGGGTTTCTCTTCTTCACGCCAAGACTTCGATCAGCTTTAACTTCTCCCATTTTCGCTTAAAATCAAAGCGTTTTCACAAAATGGCACATTTCTCCGCGAGAATGAAGCTTCTCTCGAGCAGCGATGGAAGATTCTCGTTTGGTGTAGTAGATCCGATAGACCAATTTCGCCAGGGGTTTTACACGGCCGGTGGATCGCCGTTGATTCCGGTGCGAAGGAGCCGATTAAAGTTTGACGAGTTTCGCACGAGGGTCTCTTCGTCTTACTCATTTCCTTACAAGAGAAAGAAACCCATGGATTTAGATAACACTAGTGAGAAGAATCTTGGTAGCAGCAGCGACGAAGACGGCGACGACTGGAGTTTTGACGGAGACGACGATGATGGGTTAGAGACTGATGATGATCTATCTTGCTTTCGAGGATTGGTTCTTGACATTTCTTACAGGTCCCTCTTCTTCTCCCTTGATTTTATTAGTTTGTGTTAACAACAATAATAAGCATTGATGAAATTCTGGATTTTGTCCTCAATCACAGTGTACAGTAATGATTTTGAGCTCTCTCTTTGTTCAACTTGATGCATACTTGAGCTGAATTTATTTTGATAGTATTGAGTACCGTAATGATTTTGGTAGCAATGTGCACAGTAGACAATAATCTGACTTTTCTGGTCCTGAATCACAGTGAACTATAATGATTTTGAGCTCCCTCTTTGTTCAAGTTGATGCGTTCTTGAGCTGAATTGATTTTGGTAGTATTGTCTTTGTGTACAGTAATGATTTTGGTAGTATTGTGTACACTAGACACTAAGCTGACTTTTTTTTTGTCCTGAATCACAGTGAACCATTATGATTTTGAGCTCTCTCTCTCTTTGTTCAAAGTTGATGCATTCTTGAGCTGAATTGATTTTGGTATGTGTACAGAAATGGTTTTGGTAGTATTGTGTACACTAGACAATAAGCTGACTTTTTTGTCCTGAATCACAGTGAACCATTATGATTTTGAGCTCTCTCTCTGCTTGTTCAAGTTGATGCATACTTGAATTGGCTAGTCAGGATTTGGTTGTATTGTGTACACTAGACGATAAGCTGAAATAGTTGCCTCTTGTTGATCACTTTAGGCCGGTCAATGTGGTTTGCTGGAAGCGAGCGATATGTCTGGAGTTCATGGACAAGGTCAGGGCAAAAGCTTTTAAACCAATTTTGATACTTAATTGTGTTTGAAACGCATAAGAGGTCTTAATTCAAGTTTTGTATTTTTGGATACTTCCTTGTCTAGGCCGATGTTCTGGAGTATTATGATCAGACTGTTAGTTCTCCTAGTGGTTCGTTCTATATACCTGCTGTGTTAAGGGTATGTAGTAACACAATGAGTTTTGTTAATAATTTGTTCTTCTTTCTTTTACTACTTGGAAGTTGGAAGCTTACTTCTCGTTTTGCTTCAGGTTCCACATCTGCTTCAGGTTGTCAAAAGAAGAAGAGTGAAAAACTCACTGAGTCGTAAAAACATTTTACTCCGGGACGATTACACTTGTCAGTGAGTAGTTTTCTGTGTCTAGTCACTAGCAGTTTCTTTGTTTTTTCTTTTGGTGAATGAAACTGTTCTTGCTGACAGAAATTTTTGTTATTTGGGATTTATAGATATTGTTCTGCCCGTGAAAACTTGACCATTGATCATGTCATCCCGATTTCTCGAGGTGGAAACTGGACATGGCAGAATCTGGTGTGTGATTGATAATTGAAGTAGCGTTTGTGCTGTGATTGTTATTGCAAAAGAATGTTCAAGAACAGTTAGTTTTTTTTCATGTAACGTATAGGTGGCTGCATGTTCAAGATGCAACTCAAAGAAAGGTCAAAAGACAGTGGAAGAAGCACACATGAAGTTACTAAAGGCCCCAAAGGTATTTACTTTCTTCTAGTTTACCATATGCAACAAAAGACATTGTTTTGTTGGTTAATGCTTTTTGTTTGGTTATGGCAGGAACCAAAAGACTATGACATTGTTGCGATACCATTAACAAATGCAGCTATAAGGATGCTGAGATCGAATAAGAGAACACCTGAAGAATGGCATCAGTATCTTGGGAAACCCTCATCCGCGCCATAGCAGTTGTAAAAGGTTCAGGTCCATGCCATCTCGTAAATACAAAATGGTGGCTTGAATTGTATCTGTAGATTCATATAGCTTTAACTTCAAAACTGTTCACAGATTGTCATGGACTTGTTTTGAGTTTGCACTCAGATATGTATATAATCCGTAAATAAAGTCCTGATTCACTCACAAATTGACGCAACTTTGATTTGACAATGACATTCACTCACTCGTGTTATAGTGACAAGATTGGGAACTCATTGTTTGAGATAGTTACAGAGCTATTTGAACCAAAACACAACACTGGTGTTGGTAGAAGCAGAACTATATGCAAGATGGAGGAAGCCAGTAAGGGTCCTTGAAAGAAGTGGGTGCACCTTCAGGAGCTTGGAAATGATGGATCGTTGTGTCAGAGAGATTGTAGATACCAAAGCCATGGCCTATAAAATAGATGGAGTTAGGCTTGAGACCGGGGCAAGAGCTGGCCTGGACGCAGAAAGCCTCGCTCATTGAAAGGAATATGCAAACATCTCCAATGTCCTCTGTGTAATACATGTATCTTCCTTCCGTCATCGTCTTCTCTCTAAACACCATGAACCGCCTCGTCGTGTAGTTAGTTCCTTCATGACTCGGCGAGAAGAAGCGCTGTGCGTACCTGCACACACAAGCAAGCAAGCAACAATATAAGCCATTTGAAACAATTCATAATAACTAGAGTGTGTGTGTGTGTACATATACCATTTGACAAGGAAACGTTCGCCACTAGAGACTGACTCCACGAGGTGTTCCGTCCTGCAACACCAACCCAACAGCTTCCACTCGGAATCATCCAACTCAGGAAGGTCACGGAACAGCAACTCATGGAGCTTGAGGCTTTTGTTCTTCTTCAAGTGGAGATCCCAAGAGTACAAGGAGTTGCCTCCAGGACCAGGCAAGTAGAATCTTCGCTCTCTCTTTGAATACGTCAGATTCGAGTTTTCCAGGTTTTCCAGCTTCTCAACAAGGATCTCCCCGACGTTAGTCCAACGGATGTCAGAATGTGGTCTACATAGACTAAGCTGTCTACCCAAGAACTTGATAGCAACCACACAGTCCTCATCACCAGGAGAGGAAGACATTGCCACGTTCCAGACGACGTTTGCTTGGTTAGAGTGAACAGCAGCAAGTGAAGGCAGAGGAACCATTGTGGGGTTTGACTTGGAAGCCAAGGGATTGTAAAGGTCACTGATACATAACGAACGATCATGATCGTTAGAGAAAATCCCCCATCCACGTGTACTTCCTATCTGTCTCGATTCAACGAGCTCTTGAGGAAATGTTTTGTCCGAGACTGTAAGCATCTCTTCCTTAGCCGGATCAAACAAAAGGATGTCTCTGATTTCGCTACCGTCCGGAAGAATATTCTTTAAAGTAGTGCCAAGCGTCAAATACGGATTAGGTATTGAAGATGAAAACAAACGAGAGCAGCTCGTCTTGCTTATCTGCAAGAATCAAGTAAATAAACCATATTCTCTAAAAAAAAAGAATGTCTTTTGCCTTTATTTATTGAAAAAGTTGCATCCTTTTGAATCACGAAAACAGAACAAACTCGCAAGAGAGAGGGAAGGGAAGAGAAGCTTTACGACGGGATGGTTCCAAGAAGAGGGTTTGGGGAGTCCGATGAGATGCCGTAACATTGTTGAAGATAAAACCACAGAGAAACTCTAATTTAAAGCTGATGTACTATTAGTAGATGGTTGAGGAAGGAGTTGCAGTGGGGTGTTCGACGATATGCGTCACTGAACTAAAAGGAATAATAGGTCAAAGTCAAAAACACTTCTTAAAGAAGAAGAGTAAACAATAACTTGCTTCTAATTTTAACCCCACTACTTTTATATTACTACAAATTAAGCCTTATATTTTGAAAAATAAGCTAACAATCTCGGTATTAATATGAAGATTGTTCAAAATCTCCTAAATTTATGTGGTATTTTGAATAAGAAACAGTTGTATACTTCAATTGTTCACGATAAACAAATTTATGTTTCATTACAACAAACACTAGGTATTTACCCGCGCTACGCTGCGGAATATTTTTCTAGATTTGTATATATTTTTAATATAATAAAATTATATTTATATTTTAAATGAGTATTATATTTATTTTTTATTAGCTTAAGTTATGTATTTATATGTTTTAAATTTGAATAAACATTATATATCATTAATTTTTTTTATTTTTTTAAATTATAATCTACTATCAAATTTGTTAGCCAACTATCTATAAATGTATATGTAAGAATAAAACAATACATTTTTAAGTACCTTCAAGCTAATGGTATATGTAATTTATTTTCTCTACTAAATTGCTACTTGATCCTCCTTTGAAATTATATAAAGAAAATTGCCATTTAAAAAAGATATTAATTAATATGATTATTTTAAATTATAAAATTTATTTATTTATCAAATATTTATTATAGACATATGTTTCTAAAACTACCAAACTATAATCAATAACATTCATATCAAAATCATTACTATTACTTTAGAACTAAATAGAAAATTTTATTTGAACTGTTGAAATATCAATTTAGTTGAAGTTAAATAATTCAATTTTGGTTACTATAAACATATTATAACTTGAAAATTTAGGACAGAGAAACTTTATCTTTTTATAAAAACTGAGAAATTGCATTTTCCGATAAAAAAAAAAAATATTTCCCACAAAACTGAAAAATCGCATATTCCCGCCAAAACCAAAAAATTCATTTTCTCGTCAAACCTGAAATTTCATTTTCTTCCAAAACAAAGAAATTGCATTTTCTCTCAAAACCCAAAAAATTACATTTTCCCGCGAGAACCTGTGTTTTTCCGTCAAAACAGAGAAATCAAGTTTTTTCACCAAAACTAAAAAATTTCATCTTCCTGCAAAAACAAAAAATAGTATTTTTCTGTCAAAACCAAAAAAATATTTTCCCGCAAAAATCGAGAAATCGTCTATTCCCACCAAAACAAGAAAAAATTAGTTTTCTCGTCAAATCAAGAATCACGCCTTCCTACCAAAACCGATAAATTACAATTTTCCGCAAAACCCAAAAATTGCATTATCTCCTGAGAAATTGCATTTCCCACGAAAACTAAGAAATCATATTTTCCCTCGAAAACCAAAAATCAAATTATATGTCAAAAACTGAAAATTTGCAATTCCCATCAAAACCAAGAAATTATTTATTCCTGCCAAAATCGAGAAATTTTGCTTTTCTATTAACCCGAGAAATTGCATTTTCTGCCAAAATTTTCAAATTACAATTTTCCGCAAAAATCAAGAAATTACATTATCCATCAAAACCGAGAAATCATATTTTTTTCAAAATTGAAAAGTTGCATTTCCCTTGTATTTTCTCGTCAAAATCAAATTTCTTATTTCTCACTAAAACCAAAAATTCACATTTTGCCGCCAAACCCGAGAATTCGCTTTTTTCGCCATAACCGAGAAACTATATTTTCTTACCAAAACTGAAAATCACATTTTTCTACTAAAACCAAGAAATTCTCTATTTCCGCCAAATCCAAGAAAATTTGTTCTCGGTAACCAGTGGAAATGTGAATCTCCAAGCTGTGGTGGTCTGAGTTTATCCTCATTTGCTTTCACCTTCCATTTTTTTTTGTAAATTTTGGGCTTTTTAATGGGTCAGCAAAATAGTAAATTGATTTTATTAGTGTGTTAATAATATGTATTATTGTTATGTTTTTATTGGTTCAAATTTTTGTTGATGTGTGAGCTTCTTATAACATAACGTTTTTTGCATTGTTGTTATGGAAGCATAGTTGATGATGAGTCTACACTTTCTTCAATCATATACGTCTCTATCAAGCAAACACATAGTTAGAAATTTTAATTTTTTTGCTGTTATTTATTATTTGAGTTTCGGTTTGGCAAAAATATAAAACAAAGATTTAATTTTATTATTTGTTGTTATTTATTATTTGGGTTTGCCAAAAAAATAAAACAATTTTTTTTATTTGCTGTTATTTATTATTGAGCTTGGGCTTGACCAAAAAATAAAACTAAAATTAACAATAAAAAATATTTGAGTTTTTAATGGATTTAAATTTAAAAGTTAAAATAAATTGAAGACTTGTATTAATGAAATATTTTTATTGGTGTTTTTTTTTTTGCTGAAGTGTCATCTTCTAAAAGCTTGAAATTGCTGATGTGTCAAGCCATGAAAAGACTTATGGGTTATTGTTGTGTTGATTATCTTGTAATAAACAATTTATTTTCTGTATATCCTCTGCCACAACAATTACTTCTGGCTTTTTTTTTCTTAATAAAAATTGTTAAAAATTCATAATATGTTTTTGTTTGTGTTAAAAGTCCGTTAGAAAAGAAACCGTTTTTTAAGGTTTGAATAAAGAAAAATCACGATGATTTCTAACATCATCTTCACATTATATATGAGCTTAGCTATAAATATAACAGGCCATCAGCCAAAATCCCAACACCCTCAACCAAATTAGATGACATTCCATTACCATCCATACCATCTTTTTATTTTTGTAGTGAAATTGTATAATGTTGTCCGATCTTTTTCTTGCTACTTTTGTTAACATTTCTAATTTCCCTTGTTTTTACGCCGATTACATATATTTAAATTAATTTCTTCAGGAGTGAGCTAAGCTTGATTTGATTTAATAAATTTCTTCAGAAATAAATTTGATTTACAATTTTAGTTTCAGAATTTTTGATGTTCTATCCTTCACAGGAAATTGAAGTCTAGTTATGGCTAAGATGGCAGAGGTTTGGGTTAATGCAGAAAGATTTTGCTAAAAAGGATTTTTTTCTTTCTTTCCGAAAATGGAAAGAGAAGAATAATCTTGGTGTCCAAATCTAATTCCCCGTCTTTAACTTGAAGATGGTAGAAAATCCAGGTTCATCAACAGAAATTAGGGTTTCTTGGTGCAATAATCTATCGTCAATGTCTCATCTTCTTCTCTCCCGGCTCTCAAACCTCTCTCACAGGAACAGTTCACTCGTAAGCTTATTCTCCGACGAATTAAGATTTTAATTTTGTTTATTTCAATGTATTATTATAGATCCCGAGGGTTTATAATTTTGCTACTTTGACAGATGCACAAGACCATCCGCTTGTTTTCGACCGGCCCGTATTTGACGCTTTGCTGCATTGAGAAAGCCTCGCCGTGCGGCGGAAACGTGGGAGACGTTCTCTTGTTCGATGCGGCCAAGGAAGAGTTGGTTAACGCCAATGTGGTCGGAGCTTCCCATGGATGGTGGTTTTACTGTGACCGGCACGATCGTTCCCTACGCATCACCGACCTTTTCAACCCGGTATTGGGTTCCCCGACAACGATTCCTCTGCCTCCGGTTACCGCTCTCTACTCCTGCCAAACCCAAGTTGTGTGGAACGTGGCAATGTCCTCTCCTCCTCCTCTTGATCAAGATGAAGATTGGGTGGTGGCGATCAAGTTCTTGGGTAACCAGCTGAGTCTCTGCAGGCCCCGCCGTGACCTCCGGTGTTCTGACATCTCAACCCCTTTCGAAAGCTTCCAAAACTCAAACCTGATGTTCTCCAAGAGAGACCAGACCTTTAACTTGCCTGCTCCTGGAGGGAACTACTTGTGCTCGTGGGATCTCCAGTTCCACAAGGACGACTATCCCAAGTTCCACGAGCTGCTGTTTCACAACCTTCCCCAGCTGCCTCAGTCCACGTGGGAGCTCTTGGACTCGTGTCTCAGGGAGGATCACTGGGTCGAGTCACCCTCTGGGGAATCTTTCCTCGTCAAATGGTATCGATTCCTGCTAGCTTCTCCTTACCATTGTAACCAGCTAGAAGACATTACATGAAAACACCCATTTTGGTCGTGTGCAGGTACTCCCCTGTCTCCCCTGACAGGTCCCCGTTGCCGATACCCATGGTGTTTAGAGAAGAAGACACAAAGGAGGGAAGAAGAAACATGTGTTACACAGAGGACATTGGAGATATGTGCATCTTCCTTTCAAAGAGTGAGGCTTTCTGCCTCCAGGCTAGCTCTTGCCCTGGTCTCAAGCACAACTCCATTTATTACATGGGCCGCGTCTTTGCTGTTTACGACCTCACCGCCAAAAACATACGCCATTTTCAGCACCCGAAAGGCGCACCACCAGAGATTCCCTTCCTCCCTTACTGGCTTCCCCCATATTCAATCTAGTTCACTCGTGTTATGGTCTGGTTTTTTTAAAAAGCCTGCCTGTTTCTACTTTCTATCATGTTTTCACAATACCAATCTCCTACGATACGAAAAACCAAAATGATTCTTTAATCTTTTTTTCTTCATTTCCTGATTTTAAATACAAGTATGTTTCTGGAATTTAGAAACTAAATCAGCAAGATCCATCGGTGATGGGCGTTATAAAAAGAATTTCTCAGTTTCATTATACGCATGGTTTCACAACTTTGTCTAAAAACAATAGTGAATATTAGAATAAGAGTTTCCAGATTAAAGCAATATATGTTACAAATGAAACGAGCCAACTAGATAGAAAATGGGGGAAGCTAATAAGGGGAGATGAGAGCGGCTGGTGCACCTTGAGGAGGTCGAAAAGGACTGGTGGTTCCTGTGGCAACATCATAAATACCAAAGCCGTGGCCTAGATAATAGATAGAGTTAGGCTTGAGACCCGGGAACGAGCTGGCCTTGACGCAGAAAGCCTCGCTCTTTGAAAGGAATATGCACACATCTCCAATCTCCTCTGTGTAACACATGCATCTTCCTTCCAACGTCTCCTCCTCTCTAAACACCATGAACCGCTTCGTTTTGTAGCCCTGCCCGTGCTTGAAAAACCCTTGCCCGTACCTGAGTCGAAAAGATGTTTCAGACATAACGTGTGTAAAGTTCATACAAGTAGTAGCAGCATACCATTTCACGAGGAAGTGTTCTCCAGTTGAGGCTGACTCCACCAGATACTCCGTCCGGCAACACGAACCCAACAGCTCCCACTCGGATTGAGTCAACTCGGGAATGTTGCGAAACTGCAACTCATGGAACTCGGGGTCCTTGTCTTTTGCGAAGTTGAGATCATATGATAACAAACGGTGGCCCCCAGGAGCAGGCAAGTAGAACTTTTGGTCTCTCTTGGAGAACATCAGATTTGAGTTTTCTAAATATCCCAAAGGGGTTAGGATATTAGTCCACCGGAGGTCACGACGGGGCCTGCAGAGACTAAGCTGCCTACCCAATAACTTGATAGCAACCACCCAATCTTCATCTTCATCAGGAGGAGGAGAAGAGGACATTGCCACATTCCACACAACTTGGGATTGGCAACAGGGCAGATGAGTAAGCGGAGGCAGAGGAATCGTTGTCGGGTTTTGTTTGGAAGCCAAAGGGTTGAAAAGGTCGCTGATACTCAGGGAAAGATCGCTTAGATTAAAGAAAAATGCCCATCCATGGGAAGCTCCAAGTCCTTTCCACTCAGGGAGCTCTTGGGGCATTGTTTTGTCCCGTACCGTGAGCATATCTTGCTTAGCGGCGTCGAACAAGAGGACATTTCCGATGATTCCGCCGCCTGGCAAGGCTTCCGCGTTGCAGGCAAGTGACAGATACGGGTTGGTGGCTGAGGAAGAAAACAGACGAGCCCTCTCATGAATCTAGGAACGTAAAGATCATCAAGAACCAAATTAACAAATATATTCCCTTTTATTTAAGAAATAGCGCAATTTTTTTTTCCCTAAACCTTAAGAGAAGGGAACAGAGAAGCTTACGAATGAACCATTACGGAGAGAGAGCTTGGAGAGTCGGAGGAGAAGCTGAGACATTGACGGAAGAAATCACAAAGAAGCCCAAAACGTATACGTTGAAGAATTTAGGCATCACGTCTTTCCTTTTTCTTGAAACAAATAAATACTTGTCAATCTTTTCTTTTCCATTTTACTTTTCTTTCTGTTCTCATATTCATGACACCTTGGCCCACTCTTAACTAGTATATATATAAAAAAAAATTATTCATCAGGACAGTACAAGTGTGTAATTGTGTATGGTCCAGTTTTAACTTTTAAGTTTTAATTTGAGTTGCCAAAAGTTATTGAGTAACAATTATCCCGGAAGGGACGCCACATCTCATGTTAAATTTCATGTCAAGATATTACGTTAGTAGCCATAAGAACAAAATAATTCCGAGACATCCGATAGAAAGAAAAAAAACAGTTGATATAAACTTATAAAACATAATGTTCAGTCTTACTAAATCCCACGTTTTAATATTAATGTTCAATCTAAAAAAGTTCCATATCATCTGTCAGACGCAAGATTACTATCGAGTATCGACAAGGCAACTGCACGTAGCATTTCTCAGTGCACCAAAAAACCCTATCCAGTTAACAATCCAAATGCACCAAAAAAACTTAGCCGATCATTAATAATTTGCAAACTGATCTCCTTTTCAAATGGACCTTGCCTCATTAATGAATCTTATGGCTACAAACTAATATTTACTCTACGCATCGAACTAGTAAGTTGTATCTCTCGTACTGGATTTGTGGAGCTTACGTTGTAGTAAATAAAGAATTAAAAGTATACAAACTTAAGCTCCAATGGGAATACAGAAAGTATTATATGTAGAGCGGGATTATCCACGGAAATTTTTCTTATTCTTAATTAGGATCAAACACAAACTGAGACAAAGATCATGAAAAACAAACTGAGTTGAAAATGCTTGTTGTGTGCAACAAACAAAACTCGAAGAAAATACTTATCGGCGAAATAAATTTTCGAATTTGCCATTTGCCAACCTATGATAATAATTATTCAGAAGAAGAAAGCTTTTCTTTTCGATTTATTTTTCTTTCTGTTTTACTCTCTTTTTATATTTGTTACCCCATATTCAAGACTATACAACAATTTTGATCATCGTAAAATATTTCAAAATTTCATATTATTTTTACATTTCATGTTATCTTTACACTTGTAATTCTTTTATAAACTCAAATAAACATTTATGTGGTCGTCTAAGGAAGAGAAAACGTGGCCCAAAACTCCTTTCTAATTAATTAGATAATTTGGTGGACCAAATAGCCATCTAGTATGCCCATATCTGAATATCAATACCCAAACTTATTTCTAACGTAAACAATTTAGTAATTGTAATTGATAGGCCGAAAAGAAAAATGGACACGTAAAAAATTGTGTTGGTAAAGTATGAGGTAACACTTGTAACTAAACGACCATGACTATATAAACTATCCACGGATCTTGTCACCTTTTTCATTTTTTCACGGTTTCATACTAAGAGAACAAAGTGTAGCTAAAGAGTGGAAGATTTGAAGAAACCATTTTGCATCGATTATGCTGACTACTTTTATAGTTTCAAGAATTAGTTATGTGTACAAATCTATATAATAAATGAGGACCTTCATGTCATTTATTGCTTAGCTATATCCATTACTAAACTATATCATATTGAAAATATAATATGTGTGTATGTGCATCTCACTCATTGGATCTTTTCTTCTAAACATGTAACCAACTCAACAATTCTATTTATTGACGAAAATACAAATTCTCATCTAAATAACAAATCTTGACGCAGCATTTATTTGACAGTGACACTCTCTCACTCTTCTTAAGTTCTATCAAAATTTGCATACATTTTTTTCTTCTTCTAAAACACAGTACATACAGTGACGGATGCATGCATGACAAATTTTAATCGGGGGGAAAAACATTTATATCATTTTAATATAACTTTTTCATAAAACAATAAATTGTAGTACATATTTAAAAATACATTATAGCCAATGAGAGACTTAACAAAAAACAAAAAATATGTTAAAAGTAAATCAATATTCTTAAGGTCCTGCCCCTGAGTACATAATGGCTCTCACACAAAAGATACAAGTTATTTGGCTTAACCAATTATGATGACAGTACATAAGATTAATAAAAAAATTTCTACAAATCGAACATTTTTTTTTTTTGTTGAACATTTGCTTAATCGAACATTTTTTTGGTAATCTTAGTTATTAGTTACAGAATAAGATGTTCTTAAGCCAAACGGCAACCCATGTTTTGATAAATCGTGCCAACCAATAACTTACCTTGAACTAATAGGAAAGAAAAAAAAAACAATCCAATTGTAAACTTTTTAACAAAAAGAAAAGAAAAATATAATCAAAGTCATTATCTATTTTTTTTTCTTATAATTAACACACAAAACGAGGGTAATTCGGTCTTTCGATCTCCCCAAACACATGAAATGGAAAGGAATGGCTTGCGGTATTGGCAATGTCGCTCTCCCTCAGTCTCTCTCTCTTTCTGCCTCCAAAAATTTCCCTCTCTGTTTCGAGCAGTTAAGCTGCCGTAATCTCACCCACCAGAAACCCATAAACAATCATTAATCTATTCCATTTTTCCTCCAAACCCATTTCTCGATTCCTCGAGACCCATTTGGTTCTTTCTCCAAATCATTTTCAGCTCTGTTGATGCTTTAGTTTAGACCCAACAGTTTCTCTCATTGTGTCCATCCACAGAGACTGCTTTACTTTGATTTCCATAGGAAAATGCCGCTTTCTAGGGTTGGGCTTAGGAATGCATACGGTTTGAGCCAAACGGAGCTGTGTAGAAATGTCGATCGTGAAGACCCCAAGGCGGTTCTCAACGGCGTTGCAGTCTCTGGACTTGTCGGGATCTTGCGTCAGCTTGGTGATCTCGCTGAGTAAGTATTTGTATTCGACCCCTCAAATCTCTGTTTTTTTTTTTTTTTACTTCAACAAAAATTTTGGGTGTCTACTGTTGAATGATTCTTTGAGCTAATGGTGAAGTTAGAGAAGAGAATCGTCACTTTGCATGGAAAGTAATTGGCTTTGTACTGGTTTTTAATCTATTGGTCTTCTAGCGGCAAATTAGGAACTCAATGTTTGAGATAATTACAGATTGCATGATCCTTTTTGAGGATTTTAATTACAGACTCTCTAAGTGAAGCTTTTGAGTTAGGGTTCAACAAAAAGGAAGAAGCTTTTGTCTTTCTCCTTTCTTTCCTCTTGTGAGTGAAATTCTGTGATTGCTCTGCTGCTTCTATCAATCATTCCCCTAAGGTTTTTTTTTGTAAAGTCCTCATTTTTTTGCTGGTGTTTGGTCCTTTTTTTCACGAGCTTAGTTTATGCTTCTGAACAACTAAACTCCTCATGTGTTGACTCTGATATCGAGTCTCCGGGTTAGTCAATTGCATAACAAGAACTTGCTGGATTATCAGAATTGTAGCTGAGTGTCTCTGGTTCAAAAGGGGTCATCTTAGAATTAATGGAAAAACCATAAGCTGCAGAAAGGAAGGAGCTTTCTTAAGGATTGTTCTTGCTCTTGATTCAGGTTTGCAGCAGAGATATTTCATGGAATACAGGAGGAAGTTATGGCTACAGCTTCAAGAAGCAATCAATTGAAGATCAGATTGCAGCATATAGAAGCTACAGTGCCTCCACTAGAAAAAGCGGTGCTTGCACAAACAACTCATATTCATTTTGCGTACACAGGAGGTTTTTGTCTTGTTCTCTCTTGTCAATCTTCTTATTGTCTTGACCCAAGGTGTCTGATTAGATTTCACGTTTATTTAGCTGATAAATAATGTCATCTATAGTTCATTGTAGGCCCAGTTCACATGCCTTTTCACTTACCCATATACTAAATTACCCTGGAGGTGGCTAGTTTAGAATCTGGAATGATTACATTAGTTACAGTTACTGCAAAAACTTTAGAATAGATAGACATGAAAATGGAATGTCAGTAATGATTGGTGAGTCCCGCTGTAATAATATGAAGGTGCCTTCTAGAAAGAGCAGTATTTGGTTTGTATCTTGTGCATTGATTGAGTTTTGTGCCGTTCTCAGGTTTCGAGTGGCATCCTCGTATCCCAAATGAGCAAAATCACCTAATTTACGACGACTTGCCTCACTTTATTATGGATCCTTATGAAGAGTGCAGGGATCCTCCACGGTTGCACTTGCTTGATAAGTATGCCACTTGCAGGCTAAGATATCTTTATATGATATGTATGTACCATCATGTTACACTCAACATTTTGATTTTTTTTTGTATCTCAGATTTGATATAAATGGTCCTGGATCTTGCTTGAAGCGATACTCGGACCCTACTTATTTCAGAAGAGCAACAATCAACCTTATTCAAGGAAACAAGAAGTTCCAGAATAATAACAAGAAGTGCAAAATCAAGGTGTGGTTTCTCAGTTTAATTTTGTTAAACCATCATCTGTAGAAATTTTCTTTACTTGACAGTTAATATTTCTGTTTTCTGACAGAAGAAAAAGTCTTCGTCAAGGAGTCGAGATATGGCACGTCTGGCCTCCATGGCTAACCAGAGTGCCAGGTAAAATATATATTTTATTGGTATAGTTTAGTCTATGTGCGCCTAAAGTAAATTTTAACTCAAAACATGGTGGAATTTATTTCAGGAAGACATTTACTTCATTTAGCTTCAGTGGACAAACCGCTTCTTCTAAAACAGCCTCAACCAGTGACATGGATAAAGGATCTGATCTGCAAGATCATCATTCTCACTCTTTTGACTCCAGGAGTGGTTCAGGCTACATCGAATGCTTTTCAACCGCAACCTCTTCACTCAGGACTGGAGAAAAACCGAAAGGGGTATTCGTTTCGTCCAGCTTGACACCGGGCTCTTGCACCATCGCTTCAGTCCTTTCTGAATGTGAAACCGAAGATGCACATGATAATTACCAGTTTAGTCCATCGCAAGGGCAAGCTGCTCGTGGCTCTTCTTCTGTTAGTTGGGATGAGAAAGCGGAGGTAGTGGAATCTCTTGGTTTGCAGACAGCGGATGAAGCTTCTGAAATGGATACGGACTCTGTTGTGGATGCATTAGATGTGAAAGCAAGCTATGGAGACGGAACTGGTAGAGTTTATCTCCATTCTAAGGACATTGAAAATGCTAAATCAGAATCAGGACTACAACAAGATACTGGGGTGGAGATTGTGGGAGAACCGAGGGATAATGAACATGAGACTGAAAGCGAAGGGGATTGTTTTGTTGACGCGCTTAATACTATTGAATCCGAATGTGAAAATGATCAAAGGCTCCAAAGTAGTCAAGAAGTAGTGAGCAGTCCCTGTGGTGTTACAGGCGAGAGGTTCGAAACGTCAGCGTGTGAGCAAGAAATAGAGCAGAATTCCAACAATGTCGAAGATTCTTGTAGATCAATGGATAGGCTTATGGACTGCGGTTTAGGAAACGACGAGAAATCTTGCGGTTTAATGGAAAGGTTGTGGTCTGTAAATGCACCTGATGAAATAAATCATCAAGATCCAAGGGTGAGTTCAGATATAACCCGTTCACCACGCAATGATCTTTGTACAAGTAACATTTCCGGTGGAGAAGATAACACCGCGTTCACATCTGTTGCAGCACCTGAGAACAGCTTATCTTCTGATTCAGCAAACCCCTTGTATCATAGTGACCTACAGGAACATCAAAAACCAGAAGCTGAAATCTCTCGTGACGTTGAAGCCATTAAAATATGGACTAATGGGGGTCTCTTGGGACTGAAACCATCCAAACCTCCAATCTTGTCAGTGCCAAGCTCTTTAAGCCCGGATTGCAAGACTGATGCAGTAGCTGAATTTGAAGATGTTGTGAATTGTTCAAGCTTAGCAACTCCAGGAACCCAAAACCTGGTTAGTTTAGATGGAAAATCTATGATTGTGGTTGACCAGGGAGAGTGCCACGAGACTTCATCTGGGGTCTTTGGACTCAGCCACAAGTTACTCACTAATGGTTTCCGCAGGAGAGATTCATTTCCCCATGATAGACGACAGGCTGTACCAGAAACCATTCCAGAGAACGATGAAGTGACGACAGAGAAGACCATGTTTCATGAGCAGTACATTAATGAGAAAACTTTGGTGGATCCCTTTAGAGATGAAGCTCCTATTGATTGGATTACATCGTCCCCACCTCTTCAGCACATGAAAATATCTCTCAATCCCGTTGACACTCTTCAGGCTTCCAGACTAAAGCTGAAATTTTCAGATGCGGACAACAGCTATAACACGTTTTCTTCCTTTCAGTTGCTTCCAGAGGGTGCTTCTTCCCTTCCTGATTCTTATTCAGACGACGACACATTTTGTAGATCCACTCCTTACATGTCGGATGATACTGATTATCTTAGCGATAATCACTCCTTGTCGAATTCTGAGCAGTGGGAAGAATCCAGTGACAGCCATGGAAGAAAAGAGCAAGTACTATATGATTCTTTCCATGAAAGTAGCCATGTCGATATCAATGGTGAACCTTCTTCTCTAGAGATTGAAGCAGAAAGGGGTTGTGTGGCCGTAAACCTCTCTTACCTCCAGAACTCTGCTGAGCCTTTACCACCGCCATTTCCACCTGTGCAATGGATGGTTTCTAAGACAACCTCAGAAACAACATCTGACAACAAAACAACTCAGTCCCTACAACTACAAGACGCTCTCAGGTTTGCCTTTGAGAAGCATATTTCATTGTCTACAGTAAACAAAGAAGAGCCTAATGTTGTTCCATCTGCTCCTAAACCAGAAATTAAGGTACGGAGAAGAAGTTTTCAACTCCTTTTTTTCTGCTTTAGTACTGTGTGGGTGAGTTACATATTCCAGGAAATATTAACAAGCATATGTTCTCATAGGTCCATCTGAAGAATAATGTCAGGGAGGACAAAGGAAGTGCCAACGAAAAAGAGACTGAAGCTGGAGACTTCTTGCAACAAATTAGAACACAAGTGAGTGCAGTGGATTCTTTCTTTTTTTGTGAAATAGAGTTATTGTTCGGTTTCTTGATGCATTTAAGCATCTTTTTGGCTACATTCTTGATTTCTTACAAATTGTAAACAGCAATTCAACCTGAGACCTGTGGTTATGACAACGACTTTACCTGCTGCTGCAACAACTGAACCTACAATAAACACTAAGATCAGTGCGATTTTGGAGAAAGCAAACTCAATACGCCAGGTTCATCCTCTATAATGCATCTATATTTCCAAAGCAAATCTAATGTTTGGTTCAGAATCTAAGTATTTGTCCTAATTCCAACACATGCTTATCTATCTATCACTCACTCACTCACTTTCTCTCTCTTTTCCTTTTCAGGCTGTAGCAAGCAACGATGGAGATGAAAGCGATACATGGAGCGATACGTAAAAGCCCTTTTGATCAAAGATTCCAATTCATCTCTGTCATTACTTTCTGCAAGCATTTTTATTGTATCATATGATTGTGTTGATTGTGTAGATGATACGTAAATTTTGTTCGTGCGTGATCTGTATCTTCAAGAAAATAAAGTAGTTCAAAGAAATTAAAACCAAAAAGTATTTACCTTTAGGAAAACATTTACCAAGAATATGACAAGGACTTGTATGTTAACAACGAGCTCTTAGCTACGGATTAAATTTTGTGATCATTAATGGCTTAAGATTAATAAACGATTTATATTTCTGAAATAAGGCACATAGAAGTTTTCCTACTGTAGTACTGTGTGGATAAGTTCCATATTACAAGAATCGTTTTCGATATCTTTTCAAATTACGTATAAGAAGCATATGTTCTCATCAGTCCATTCAAAGAATACTGTCAGGGAGGATAAACAAAATGACAATAGAAAGGAGACCAAAACTGGTTCTTGCATCTAATCCGAACATAAATAAGTCGGTGTAATCGGTTCTCTTAATGAAAAAAAAAAAAAAAGTATGTTCGATTCTTGATGTGTTATATCATCTTTAACGACATTCTTGATTTCTTCCATAGCATAAACATCAATTCAACCTGAGATACGTACGTGGTTGCCACTATGACGGCCCTACCATAAACACTAATATCATCTCGATTTTGGGTAATTGCAAACTCCATACGTTATGTCCTTTTAGTCTCCTAATTTTTATCCAAATTAGATATGATATTATTTTGCTTAAGATTCTAATTCTTCTCTCTAAATTACTCTATGCACGACAAGCGTAGCTTGCGGAGAGACAACCTATATTAGGGTTTAATCTTGTTCTCCAAGCAAATTTTTATTGTATCGAATCTTATACATGTGTGTATTGTGTAGTAGATAAGTAGATTTTGTCGTACGTGATATATATCTTCAAGAAATGAAAATATAAAAATATAGGCTGTTATGCTCACCTTTTCTTGAAGGTTGACGTTAATCACATGAGTAGTGGAAAATAAATATATTTTTAATTTGTTTTGAAATGCGTTGAAAATTAATTATGTATTATTTTTTATTTGATCTTTTGAACTATACGAAAGAAAGAAAATCAGTTTTGTGTCAGCTGTGTTATTGATTCTGGAAGCAATCGCAATAAAAAAAAATTGTGAAGGAGAAAAATACTAAAATCGTTTTCTTTCAAAAGAAATGAATGAATTAATGGTTTTGATTAAAAAAGACTTGGAAGAAGATAAGGTCTTCAAAACCCTTAAGCCGTGAAGTTCGCGTATATGTTGTTGTGTTCTTTAATTGTTTTTCTTGTTTCTGCCACTTTTTTTTTTTGACGTCCTTGTTTCTGCCACTTGAATCGAAAAGATTAAATAATAGAGAGATTACGTTCTTGTGTGTGCTGTCTTATTTTAGAATTGTAGCTAAAACATTTTATCTACAATTCTTTAATGTCTGTCTCGCATTTAATTAACATCGAATATTAAATCTTAGAAATTTGATTGTGGACATGTGAAAGGATTTTGAAAAAAAAAAATATTTTTACAATATTCATCTGGTGCTTGTTTCTTGGACTATACAAGTATGGGTGACAGAATTATAATATCAAACTGTACAATATAGAAATATATAGCATAATTGTGTCTAGCAATTCCATGACAACTTTTATATTACTGTAAAACTTGCTATAGTATTGGGTTCGACTCCATCATACGTAAATATTGCATGTGGAATAATTAGTCATTTAGATTTCGGCTCAGATGATTTATTCGTCGTGTTGTCAAGAAGCTTACGATCTTCAGCAAAAAATCTGTCAAGTTTATTTTATTTTCTCCCAATTTAATGTATAAGTCTCTCAAGGTTGAAATTCGAATAATAAAACGGATTATTGACTATTGAACTTATATCAGCATAACGTTCTCCCGAAATAGAAAATATATACAACCTTTGGACTGTATATTAGTTGAAAAATAAAAGTACATATTTCTACTCAATTTCTTCCTCTTTTTCTTTAACTTTAAATTCTTAATCGAAACTAAAAGATTTTCGAATGCATGTACCCTCAATGAAAAGTGCATCTTTTCCCCAATTAAACTAAACACGTATAAAGTGTATTTTACTATATCATTCCACTTTATCTAGCTATAATTAAACCTTATTAATTGTATTGGATGTACAGTGGAATATGGAACCATTAGTATTGAAAGTTGGAACACTCGGAAAGAAACTTCTTATTAGTATGAAACATGTTCTCCTCACAAACCCAATCTATAATTAATCTTTTTCAATATATTGAACAAAGACTGTAGAACTAATCTACATACACAACCATGTGGAAAAACTAAATCAAATTTGATCCTCTAAAATATGTCTAGTTCAATATATATGCGCATAATCCGACAAGTTGGGATAGAAATGGATAGTTTAATAATTTATTTCTAAATAAGATCAATAAAGTATGAGTCATATCTCTATAGTAGACATTAAAGAGAAAAATTAATAATTTTCATTCTTTATTCGTCTAATTAATTTTAAATCGCTTTATTAAAGACAGGATTAAAGAACAAAACCCATACAAAAGATTTTGCTTTTCTTCAAAAAGAGAGCTTCTTTATAAAGTGAATTTTCCGAACCCAAAAGAAGCACATACTGAAAAGATTAAGATTTGAAAGGAAAAAAAAGAAAAAAATGGGCAACCAACAAAAGTTAGTCACCAAATCCATTGAAACCCTAAAGAAAGAAGGAAAAAAATGGCCTAAAGAAAAGATAATCCACCTTTACAAGTTACAACTAATTATATGCATGTGTTTATATATGCGTAACATGACTAAACTTCCTTTGTTTTTATAACTTCCTTTGTTTTTATAATGCATATTTGTTTCTAGGAAATCTAGCACGCAATGACTAATATTCGAACATGTGATCATATTTCTAGAATGAAGAATTCAAAACGGTATTATAATTATACATTTGTGTACAATATAATTTTTCTAACAAAATTTATAAACAAATTAAACTCGCTTAAATCTCAATTGTCTTTTAATTTCGATTTGGCTATAAACATAAATCCAATCACCTTGCAATTGTTTCAAAAATCATTATACATTATCTTTACGTGCATACTGTACTTTGCAAAAAAATTGCTCAATGGATGAAATAATTCTTCTACTTATATATATTTACGCACATTTATATGCTCTTTTTGTATAAGTCTATTTCTTTAATTTATATATATATTTAACTAAAAGTCGATCTCTTTTTAAAGTACTCAAAAGTTGTTCTTTTGCGACTATGTAGTATAAAGGTTCCAATGAAAAAACATTTAGTATAAAAGCACGAATTTGAGAAGAAAAGAGAAACATGAACTAGTGCTTTCCTTTACCTTTTTCTTTTCCTCTTCCTTTTTTCCTTTTCTCTCCTCTTTAACACTTTCTTTTAACGTTTAATAACGCTCGTGAATCAAGTTAATTAAAATAAAATATGTTCAAAAACATCCTTTGCTCAACTTTATTTTTTTGGTAAAAAAATTTAATCATTTTTCCGAGGAAATATTTATTCAACCATTCTATCGATCAAGTAAACTTGCAAAAATGATTAGTCCAATTTTACACTATCCATTACTGATAAGAAGGGATATAGATGGTCCATTTTGGGTTGATAGAATTTAACCGAACAGAAGAAACATCATAATTCAAATGATTTCTTCCATTTTGTTTAAACTTCCTCAAATCAGATGTTTGATACATTGAACCCATATTGAAAAGAATAATTCCAAATGTTAAAATTGATTTCGAACTTGTTAGTCGTTCTGCAGTTTCAATATTTTAAAAGAAGAAGATCGCTAACATCAATCTATACGAGAAACCATTGCACCAACTGAAATGTTCTTACACGTACATCATCAAAACGTTATTGATTTGTTACCTTTCATAACTTCATATAAATCGAACCTTCTGATATACAAATGATAAACGAACAAAACTTATTCTTCTCATATGAAATTCAAATTTCTCTACGATATTACACATTTGGAATAAATAAAACAAATGAAGAAAATGGAAGGATGACCGGGAACACACCTGGAAAAAGAGGGGCCCAGACGTTGATGTGTGCCTTTGAATTGAAAGCTGATCCCTACTATTAAGCCTATATTCATCCATCTATTCTCCTTTTATACGCAACACACTAAAACGTTCTTTCTCTTTGGCGGCTTTGTCCAAATCTATATCCTTCTCACTTAAATTAAGATTTAATGAGATATAATGATGTAACGTTCTCATGTATATCTAAAATCATAAAATCGAAATGAACGTAAATTTTCTATCTTTATTAACCGTCATTTAAAAAAATAATCGAAAGTAAATTTGTCTAGAGTATTTAAATCGTCTGTAAACTCAGAATAACGAAAACACAATTTTTTTAAAAAAAGTTAATAGTTGTGGTTTTCAGTTATAGAACCATCAATGATTTTTCGATCACATAAACTTTCACCTTCTATTTTTTGATTTCGTTAAACTTAATTATACATTTTTGAGATTTAAAGAATAACGATCTTAATGTTCAAAAAAAAAAAAGAATAATAATCTTTACATGAACTTACTTATTCTGCACATTAAACTCATATTAAATAATTTTTATTTAAAGCCATATTAAAAGGTTGGGTTTAAACCATTGTGGTTGATTGGATATCAAATTGCTGTTGGCACACACGAACATCACTTTTAAATTTTTAATAAAATCTAAAAAGATGGTAAGAGTTGTTTAGTTTTTAGATTTTACTATACTAATCTAAGGTATTATACTATTTAGATTTTCGTAGATTTAATTAAACATTCACTGGTGGTAGATAAATAAAATATTACACACAAACATTGTAAGCTATTATGCTAATCTAAGGTACTACTATTTAGTTATTGTTCTGTTTATTCTAGCTAACTGAACTTGTTGTATTTCTATATTCCAAGCTTAAACTTATTTGACGCAAAAGAAAAAGTACTCGTCCTCTTTCATATTGAAAATTCTGCAAGTAGTCGGTTAGCAAATTGAAAGTAAAACTACAAAAAATATCCTGCACATCTCATTTATTAGTAGTGACTAAAATGTAAGTTTTAAGACAAACTAAAAATGATTTGTTGCATAAATCTTGATAAAAGCATGTAAATAACTTTTTATTAAAATATACGGAAGGAGTAGCCTGTACTACTGGTACTGAATACAAAATTTTGGAGAAAAAAGAAAAAGAATACACACATATTGTCAGCTGATATGAATCGATATATCTTTGAATGCAGTAAGCAATAAATGCGCCTAACATATTCTTTCATATATATATTCTCCCTACTAACACTATTGCTTTTCTCTCCTTTCCTACGAAAAAGATATAATAATAATGTTTTCAAAAATCCTTTTACAAAAATAAAACAAGATTTGTAATCTTCTTCCTATAAACGTCTCTTCTCTCTTTCATCACTGCAAGAAACTTAATCACAACTCTCCTTTTCTCTCTTTCTCTCGCTATCTCTCTCTCTCTCTCTCTCTCTTTCTTCTCATTTCAATGGCGACCCAAGATTCCCAAGGGATTAAACTCTTCGGCAAAACCATAACATTCAACGCCAATAGTATCACACAGACAATTAAAAAGGAAGAGCAGCAACAGCCAGAGCTACAAGCAACAACAACCGTTAGATCATCACCATCGGATCTAACGGCGGAGAAGCGTCCAGACAAGATCATAGCATGTCCGAGATGCAAGAGCATGGAGACTAAGTTCTGTTACTTCAATAACTACAACGTTAATCAACCAAGACACTTCTGTAAAGGTTGTCAGCGTTATTGGACCGCCGGTGGAGCTCTCCGGAATGTTCCCGTCGGCGCCGGTCGCCGTAAATCCAAACCTCCGGGCCGTGTCGGTGGATTCGCCGAGTTGCTTGGGGCTGCGACTGGAGCAGTCGATCAGGTCGATCTTGATGCTTTGCTAGTGGAAGAGTGGCGAGCAGCGGCGTCTCACGGTGGTTTCAGGCATGATTTTCCGGTGAAGAGACTTCGTTGCTACACCGATGGTCAATCTTGTTAATTATCTCTAAATTTTCTTTTCTATTACTATTTGTTTTGTTTCGGGTTTGGGTTTGGGTTTTCGATTTAACCCGTAGAAAGAACGTGGTTAAATTTGCTTTGCTTTGCTTACTGGATACGTACAGGCTAGCAACAAAAATTAACTAGTTAATTAATCGATTAGGAGGTTTTAATACTTGCTTCTCTACTAAACAGCTGTCGCTTTTTTTTTCTTTTTCTTCCAATTTCTCTTGTTGAATTTTTAGTTGTAAATTGAAGCTCGTGGGATTTTTTTTTTAGTTGAATAATAATAATAATAATAAACGCTGACGGTGTCGTTGACCATAATATCAACCCTTAAAACTAGTATTTATTTCAAGTTCTGTATTCTATTGCTAAGGTCGAATAGATTAGCTTTGTAGATAGTATTATTGCTCAATCTCATCAACCAATGAAGAATTAACTTTCTGATATTTCATATTTGTAGCCTACTTTGTACTATCGTTTCAGTGTACGTAAAGTTATTAATAGATTATGGACATTGCTCTACTGTAACTTTTTAACACAGAAACCTCATTCAATTGGAGATTTAAGTTTTGACTTTTCAGCAATAAAACAAGTATCAAAGACCTACTAAAATACAAATTTTTACTGTGAATGAAGAAAAAATGAACAAAGAGTGGGGCATTCTAAAATTAATAAAATACATTCTAAATTATATATAATCTCGCTAGAAGATCACTGAATAAATAAACTACATTCTAAAGAGCATCACAAATGTATAAACTTTTTAACAGTGGAAAACACATTAATTTTTGTAAATATCAGTCTTAAGTCTTAACGAAAACTCTAATCAGTAAAAAGAAAAATACTACGACCAACATTTATGGATAGATGTGACATATTACTGTCAAATTTTAAGGTGGTTTTACGGCCTAATGATGATAAAAGGTAAGCAGTAATCGAAGTCGATATTAGTTAAAGTAACGAGCCTAAGAGGCTAAAGACCGACCCAAAGCAAAGACGCACACTTACGTTATATCACAAATAAGTAACGCACGACTACATAACCAAACTAGCCAACAATGACTCAATCCATAACGCAATTGGTAGAGAAACTCGACATAATTAAGTATCTAATTTCATAATTTTCGAGAAACTAATGAAAAGTATAAGGACGAAGCCAACGAGAAAAGCTACTGTCAGCACACATAAAAGAATATGACAGAAGAGACAACAAAATCAAGACTTGTGCGCAAGTCATGTCCTGTTTTGGGGAAAAAGAAACGGTGGGTCCCCTTGAATTGAGTTCTGGGTTGGTCAGATATTTATAAATGCGGAGCAGAAGAAAATAACTCAATTGAAATTTGAACGAGTTAAAAAAAAAGGAGAGGTTTTTGATTTTGGAAAAAGAGCACACAAAGTTTGACCTTGCGAGGTTAAAGAGAAAGAAACTGCAACTACCAAATGAAAGCAAATCCTACAAATTTTAAGCACTGAAGGAAAGACAAATACTTGCAAGCATCTGTATCTCAGAAGAAACATTAAGGCCAAAGGAGAGCAATGGGGAACAATCCAGACAGTTTAACTTTCTCCATTGAGAAGCATCAAGTTTCTTTTAGTTCCCATACGATATCTAAAAACAGAAACGAAGGAGAAAGAAAGATAGAATGAGATTCAGACGACGAACTACTTCACTCACTCACTCAGGACATGATTTTGGCAGACCGGACATAAAGACTGTCAACGACCTTCCCCATGTTTGCAATGGTGTCAAGAGTAGCCGAGTAGATAGCATCTGCCTTTGGATCCTCGAATATGATGAGACATCCAGCTCCTTGATCCAACGTACCTGCGAATTTCTTGTCAAGTATCATCTGAGATAGCTTCTTCTCCACATGGTCGATCGGTAACCCAATCAGCTCGGCAATGTGAGCGATCTCGACTCGTGAGAAAGGCTCGATCAAACGACACAGGTTCTGCTCAAGGAGCGTGTCGTAGAGGGAAGAGAGATGCCTGTGGACAATCGGGTCATCCTCTAGCTGCGCCTTGTAGTCACGGAGAGCGTTCTCAAACAGTTTCAAGGACCTCTTTGAGTGAGCATCAGCGACTGCTTTCATGGCATCTAGATCGGGGCCAACGTACTGGAGTCCAGCCTTTGAGGAGATGATCCCTGCAACATCATCAGCTTGGCTGACCATGATCTTGCACAGCAACATGTATTTCAAACTGAAAACCGCTCTTGGGTCTCCGAGAGCGTTGAAGGACTCAAAGGCTTCAAAGAAGTAGCTGTATCCGGTTTTGTAGTCCTTCTCTTCAGCGTGAAGAATCCCACTCTGCAAATCTATGGTGCCTTGTTGAGCCGGTGGGACATATATAGCGTTTGCAGCTGTCCTAGCTGCGGTGAGAGCAGCTTTCGCCTTTGGCAAGTTTCTCAATGAGAAGTGAAGTTTGCTCTCCAGCAAGTCAATGTCGACCAGAAGGAGCTTATCATCTAATCTCCTAACCTCTTTCACCAAAGTACTCAGCAGCGCCAAAGCTTCAACATACTCCTTGTTCTCCATTAACAAAGCTGCAAGCCTCGCCTCTACTCTCTGCCTGAGGAAAGTACGCTTCTCAGCTCGGGTCCATTCCACCATCTCCTTGCACAGAGTGATCTGGAGATCGGTCGTTCCAGGTATCTTCGCCACAGCATCGATGATTCCTCTGACGATCTTTGCGGTTTTGGCCTTGGGGATCAGCGAAAAGAAAGGTCTCAGCTTGGTTAGCAGAGTGCGGAGATCCTCGCCTCTCTTCTCTTCAGTCAGACGGTCACAGAGGTTGGATATGGCTTGCTCCTTGATCCGAATAGCCTCTGGAGACGAAGAAGGGTCTTCAAGAACCTGGTACAGTATCGAAATAGCCTCCGAGCTGTTGGCTTCTTGAGCCAGGGCAATCGTCTCGGTTGTAGCGGGAAACGAAACCATTGTGTGCTTTACGGCAAACTCAAAATCCCTGCAATGTAAAGAGCCATAGATGAGTTTATGCACAATGTTCAAAAATATTTCTCCTTTAAGGCATATTCCTAGTCTCTATGTTCAAATCACTAAGAAAAAAAAAACCTAATCCGTTGTCGATACAATAACAAAGATTATCAGAGAAATCAACGAGAAAAACCTAGAGATCCATCAAAGACGACACAATTGAGTTACGAAGCGTATACAGAGCCAAGTTACAAGATGAATCACCGATTGATATAGTTCAGTGAATTACAAACTGTACAGTTCGATTTCTTCGATTGATATACTTCCTCCAAAGATCTATGTAATACTCTTATCAATTTTGGTAGCTTCGTACTAATCAGTGTATCAATGTTAGCTTAGAGTATCATCGAGCTAATCCACCAATTCACAGATCAACTGAATCGGGGAAAGCCAAAACCCTAGACCTATCGACAGAGGGAACCAGATTTGATTCTGAAGAAAGTCGAAACAAAAACGCATACCCAAAACCCAGAAAGAATCAGGCCTAACAGGAAAATCCGGAAGAACAAATTAAGAAATTGCGCAAGAAGTAAAAACTCACTAGTGGAATCGGCCGAATCGTCGTCTGTGAACTTTTTGGTAAGGCCTTCGATTGACGACGGTATAGAAAAAAAAATAAGTATAGAAGATGCCTGTCTTGAAAAGAAAGATAAAGGGACAGCTTTTTCGTAATTTCAAATTTTATAAAGGGTACAATTGTCATTTCAGATGCTGGAATCGAATGAGGGATCAAACGCTTAAATATATTCGGCGTCTCAATAATTTAGCGTTTCAGATGTTATTATAAGTTTAAAACCTCGCCCCAGTGGCTGCAAAAGATCCGTGTTTCTCTCAAATTTTTTTGTTTACGACAGTAATTAACTGGCTATACGTTTTTTTTATTTTCTCGTCGAAATATGCGTTTTCTAAAAAGTTCAAACTCTAAAAGTCATGCAAACGCATAACGTGAAAATGCCACGACATGGAAACGCATGTATAGATTCAAGCCCACTGGCCCCAATTAAAGGCCCAATTTTGTGTCTATAGCTCATTTCTGTAGTGGACCTTCCATGACCTTATCTTTATTCACCTCAAACTAAGAAGTATGAGTTGATAAATATATCACATTAGTTTTTTTTGCTGAATTTATATTAAATTCATGGTCAATTATAATAAATATATCACATTAGTTGACATGCAAATGATTTCATTTTCTTCGTACATCATGTATGTTTGTGTTTTCAAGATCATTCTTAAAACAAGAAATCCCGAAATTAAATATTGGAAGGTAATCAACTCATTCTTGAAAAAAAAAATGTTGGGACACAGACACAATATAGAAAACAAGAGAAAACATCGTTAGTTAAGTAAACTCAGACGACAACATGCGAAAAAACAAATAGAAATGTTTTATATAAGAAATTAAAAAAAAAAAAGAGTTACCAAAAAATTAAAATTGATTGAGAGATCGATGTATGTGTGTATATATTAATAATATAGATGAAGAAGCTTAGAAGGTGACGTCAGGGACGATTCCAAGCTCCTTGAAAGCTTGAGGACAATCAGCGAGAGGAGTCTTCCTCATGAACCCAAGTGGGTTAATGGTTCGAGTCTCGTTTGAGACAATGCCATCATTAGCCGTGAGACTGATCCTGGCTGCGTTTCTTAGGAACTCTTGGTTGTTCACTTCGCCACACTCTGCGTCCGGTGATTGGACGAGGACGATCTCGCACACTTCTTCCTCGTGGTCTCCCATAACTTCCATCTGGTAGTTTCCGGCTTTGTCGGTCACAGCTTCTTTGCTCAGTGTTACTGTCTGGTTCTCACGACCCTTGCACTCAAGCTTTACCTTTGCCCCTGAAATACAACACATTAATAACGTTAGCTTTTTGTAATCTTTATAGAATAAAGACATGTGAATAACAGGATCGGGTCTTGACGTATGAGGACGCTAATAATTTTTATGGCGATTTTTTTCTTAGTTTATAATTCAAAATTATTGAACCAAACCAAAATAAGACTAATCTTGTCTAACAAATATATGTCTGTATTGATTGTAATATCATATGATCCATATATGAATTTAATTAGAGAATGTCTGTAATTACCTTCAAGGAATTTGCTGAGGCGGGTAACGAATTGGACACGGCAGGTGTCGCAGTAGACGGAGCCCTTGATGTGAAAGCGATCGAAGTCGTCGGCATCAGCGGCCGCGAAGTGAAGGAGGGTGGTGAAACATAAGGCAGATGCAAGGAAGACGATGAAGAATTTGGCCATTATTATGCCTTATTTCTTTAATTCTTGTATCTTCTCCTCTCTTGGTTTTGGGGTCGCTTTATTTGTAAAATCAGTCTTTGTGGTGAGAAATTGGTAAGTTTTGGAAACGCTAATGATGAATCCAACCAAATATCTCCTTTTATAGAGAATAAATAGACAAGACAGCTAAAACAATGTGGTTCTATGTCTATTTTTGGAAGCTCTTGTTTATTTTTGGTGTCTGTGCTCTTGAGTTTTGTATGGATGTGTATTATTTGAACCCGATGTTTTCTCGTTACCATCAAAATTTTCTGTTAATCCTTTCTTCTTAGTGGATTCGGTTAGTTTCTTTTATTTTATTTTGTTTTTGGAAAGAGGATATAGTATGTCAAACTACATATAGTCTTATTTATGTTTGTTAAAAAAAAATTAGTGTGGGTGGAGAATTTTCTACTAGACCCAAATGAAAATGTCAGGTAGCATTAAATGACTAATATGAGCCGCGCATGCAAGTTTTTGGACAATTGTTCTTGAATAAAAGAATCAAAATCTCCAAAACAAATTAGCTTAATTCAAATTTATAGAGCTTGAAATAAATCTGTAAATTTGACTGTGAAACAAAAATCTGTAGTGACCTTTATGTATAACATCTTTCAACTGTTGTAAAAATCACCAAGCTAGTGACAAGAAAGTACTGTACATATTAATTGGATTGTACTTCCTCTGCTTGGGGCAAAAAAAAAAAAGGTCAAGAGTGTGAACGTTCTTGATCCGCATCGATCTCGCAAACTGTAAGTAAAAAACCACATAAATGGTTCAAATGTCGCGGTAGGCAGTAACCGGACACTCCACATAAACCGGTCAAACACTCGAAAACTTACTTAACACAGTTTATAAGCTGGCGGTAATAAACGTGGAAGACTCTTGCTGTCTTATGCTATCTGCAACATGCGCAACAACTCCAGCTCCTGCTTTGTAAAGTCTTTCGCTTTTCACCTGAACCAAGGACCCAAACTCTCTCTTAGTACATAACAAGATTCCATGTCCGAACGTTTAAAAACAGTTCCAAAGTGAAGAAGATGTTGGAAGTTTACATGAATGTTGTTATGAGCTAAGTAAGGCCAGAAGGTGGAGTGGAAGCTGACATCAACTTTCTTCCACCCTAATGTCTGCAGACCACGGATCATTTCCTCTGCCAATTTTTTATTTTTTATATAAATTGTTAATCTCTTGCTGATTTAGGAGAAACAATCAAAAATTGCTTGGGCTACTATTTAAATAATAGTTTTTTTTCCTTCCTCACCTTCCACTATTTCATGATACTCGAGTGTGTTCTGAAGACTAGGCGAGCTTTGTGCAGCTTCCTTGGCTTTAGCAGCTTCTGGAGGGAAATGGGCTCCATCTGATGAAACAGGTGGGCAGTATTCTACATCGACAACATGCTTGTATCCATCCAGAGACCGGCGTGGAGGCTGCTTGTAACATGAAAACAGGGGAAAAAGCATAACTATCAGATCTCAGTCTTGGCTGCTAAATAGTTTTCAAGCTAGCATTTGGCTAGTTACAATCCCCAATAGAGCTTCTTGCACTAAGAGAATAATACACCAGCCAATCTTCTCTGATAACTAATAAGCTATGGTGAATCTCTACATACAGTTCTTTGATTTTGAGATTCTTTACTGTACAATATATCAGCTGTAGGTCCAGCTATAAGATCACCAATAACCAATAGCGAGATTTTAACCTCGGAGAGAAATATGCTTTCTTTTACTCAGGAATCACTATGGGTTGAGTTAGAGTGGACAGTGCAAGGGTCTTAATAAGTAAGGTGAAATATATGACCACTCTCATACTTCCGAAAACAAGACCAACCTAGCTAGTGAGCAGACTATTACTATTGGTGAGTCCCATTTTTCTAGCTAGTGTGGTACAAGTTTTAGAGTCGAGATCTAGTTATATCGGAGGAACAAGGAATCAAATGGGATAACACTATAAGGAAAGCTTTTACTGCTTCAGATGAAATTAAACGTACCTTGAAAAGTTCAGTTTCTCTCCTTATGGAAGATGTACGCCAACCAACCATGTCTAGTTAATGTCAAAGGGAACAGTTAGGAAAACAAATGCAGACAAAACTAGGAATCATGCCTAAACAAGTTAAAAGGCAACAGAAATGCACAGGATACGGTCATAAGATACGTTTGCATACACGATGCGGCATCGAAACGCCCCCAGAGACGACCTGCCAGAGGAGGAAATACATTATGATTTCAAACGAGTCGTTAAGTGGTATAATGATGCTACTAAGAGCTCTACTCACAAAAATTTCAGATCTTCACCATCAGATGCCATCCTTAAGAGAAGAGGTGGTTTATCAGCTTTACCATCAGTAAGAAACAGCTGGCTACCAGTCCGACCAACAAAGAACGGAGCTATTGGTGCAGCAAGTTTTTCTAAAATCGGAACTCCCAGCAGAAAAGGCAGCTGGCACAATTAGGAGAGAATGAGAACAAATAACCAACAAATGCCAAACAGTTTTGATGAAAGTATGTGAAATATCATATACGTTACAAACTTCTTCCTCAACTAAGCATACACCAAATCTACGTACAGGTACAAGAGATATATGAAACTATCTGATTGCAATATGACAAGAGAAGAAGAGAACCTGCTTCCTGCCTCTCACTCCTAGATGAGGTGTTGCCAAGGTGATGAAATTCATCGGTTCGAGTCCAGCAATCCTACCTCGCAGAAGATGCGAATTCCCTGATTTAGAGACAGAACCATCACTGACTTGTGATATTGCTGCCGAGTAGAGAACAGCAACAGCATGTCTGGCAAATAAGCCACCGAGGGAGTGGGCCAAAAAGGAAATCTTCTTTAAACTCTTGCTCTTTTGGACAACTTGTATAACCTATATTCCTCTCTCACCATCAGGAATGAAAACAGATCATCAGCTGATATACTAGAACACCAAGAGGAGCTATACAAGAAGTGGAAATGATATCGTAGGAGTATAATAACTCACCTCTTCTGCTAGTCGTTTTCCAGCTCCATCGACCCCGCCAAATGTTTTAGTGAAGGTATTGGAAGAACTTGCTGTGCATGTTGAGAGGACAGAAAGAGTAAATAAAAAAAGTAGAATGTGTGATTCACGCATAATGACATACAAAACTAATAAAAAAAACAGTAAGAAAAACGAGTTGCGTTCTCAGACGAACAGAGAGAGAGACAAGTTGAAAACCAGATGAGCATACCATAAATCAAGAATCTTCTTCCAAGGCGTCTTTTCATCTCAGCTTCTACATAGAGCCAGTCGCTAGGACTGCAAGTTTATTGTATCTCAGTAAACTCGGTGTCCACATACTATACATTTATACGCAAACTTCCAAATTCAATACTTGCAAGTTTTCATCCTAAGCATCCATTATAAAAGGAAATAAAACCATGTGCTTTTCCCAAGATGCAAAGACAGCAGCATTCAAATGATGGAGTTGCAAGACATCATACCTGGCCAAGATACCGTGTACAAGAACAAGAAGGTGATCAGGTTCATTTTTCTCATCGTTGTCGCCTTTCGACAGTGAAAAATTCCGTTGAGCTGTGGCACTCATTGCTTGAACTCTGAGTCCCTGCTGGTTCCAGCTTCTGCTAGACCCTGTTTGTAGACAAATCAAACGAAAGAACACGAATGAGCCCGCCAAAACTATAAACAGAACTCATATTTGACCAAACATATCATAATATTACGATTTCTTGGCTATTCACAATCGTCGAACATCTTGGTGTTACTTTGCTCTTGTAGAAACAATGAAAGAATCTGTGTACAGAGCACTGAAACTGAGCTTTCCCTCTAATTAAATCGCATGATACTATTCTTAACCATATCAAGCCTAATCTACATCTTCGATCAGGAAATCCTCAGCTCTAAAACCAGCTCGTTAGATTAACACTATCGATTCCAACTAGCAAGATCCACCATTCATACACATGAACGGAGAAATGAAGGATCCAATCCCTAAATCCACACGACAAACACTAACGACCAGATACGATTCAAAACGAAGTAAAACTAATTACCGAAATCGAAATTCAAAATCTCTGAAGAACCACAAGAGCAGGAAGAAGACGGCGAAGAAGAAGAAGAAGGAGCAGCTGAAACGACGCCGGGAAATTGCCGCGCTCTGCTAGAGGAGCTTTGGAAAGCGAAACCACCACCACGATCCGGTAAGTATCTACAAGGAGGCTGAATCCAAGAAGCCGTAGACATTGATACTCGAGCGTGCGTGTATATATATATATATATATAGATATAAGAGAAGTCAAAATCAGAGAAAGGCGTGGAAGAAAGATCCTTGAATCGCGGTTTTTAAAGCGACGTCAGCTTCAGAACCATACATGCCTCTACGTTATCCTCATCACAGAGACCCATGCTCTCCCTTTATCTCTCTATCTCTCTGGTTTTATTTTCGATTCAGCTAAAAACAATCGTCGACTTACCAATTTCTCTGGGAAAATGATATATGTGTTGTTTTTTTCTTTCGTTAATAAATATTTCTCGGTTGTTGTCAAGCGACCTCAAAGCACCTTTTATTATTTAAAAACACACAGAATATTTTATTTGACCAGAAAACGAAAAATGTAGGATTTTGGAATTTTCTTGTATTCAAAAGTTAAGAATCGGACCAGGTTCTTCTTCTTCTTCTTCATCTGCCAAAACTCCAGAGTTTATCTTTTGTAAACCAAACAAGTTTTGGGCCTAGCTAGACCCGTAATTTTGTCGAGCCTAAAACGGGTTCATTAATTTTAAAAACTATTTTTTCCTTGAGACACTGATGTTTAAAGTTAAATCAACTGCAACAAAATTCTTCATCATGGGTTTGTTTGAAGTTAAACACTCCATATTTATTTCAATCACAACAAGTCAACAACAATGCTCACAATAATAACTGAATTTTAATATCTCTCTTATGTTTTTTAACCATGCATATCTAAAGGTTGTTGACTTTAGTGATGCTTTCGAGAGTGTCTTTACGTTGATAGTCAAGAGAGGGCATCGAAATTTCATGTGGTGCGAATTGGTTTTATATGTTGAGGTAGGTACGTAGGTTATATAGGTTTGTAATTTGCCTTGTTTTATCTATTTTGTACAATTAGATTCGTTCTGTACAATTAATAATGAAGGGAGTATGTTATATGTAATATGATTATACGGTCTTTATGGTAACGTTTTCTTTATAACAAAAAAGAAAGAAAATAAAATAAGATAAAAATCAAATGGTAGAAGACCTATTTGAGAAGAAGTTGTTCTTTTAATTAATCTACGTCAGAGATTCATTTTCTTCAAGGATAGAATTGTTTTAATCATTCTTACTTAATTACACGAATATGAGTTTTTGCTTTCCATCTATTTAAGTATCCGAAAAGAATTTGTGGACTATACCTCCTACAAAGATTAGTCTAACTCTTTTATAAATCTGCAATATATATATATATGTATATGTATATATATATAATAAGATAAAGTTTGTGCATTTGGCAGTTTGCAAAGGTTTTGAGGCTTGTCACGTGCATTCACTGAAAATGTGATTTGAACGGTAATTGTATCTATGAATGCTATGGAAATTGAGCGTCACTGGGCCGGCTTTCATACAGCCATGCAGGGGAAGGAGTGGGCGCATGAAAGGTATCCACATCTTTTGAGATATTTGTAATAATTCTTATATTATACACTTAATATATTTTATTAATTGAAATCACAATTTATTTGAATTTTAATATTTCTTTTAAACTCTTGGCTCTTTTCTCTAAACTCATATAGATAGATGTTTAGTGAAGAAAATCCTCATTTATGTGTCATCATGTAAAATCACGAGAAAACCATAAAATTATGTTTTCCTGTGAAAACCGTAAAATCACAAAAAAATCATAAAATTTTGATTTTCCGCCAAAACCGTACAATTATGTTTTCTCACCCTAGATTTTATTATTAATTATTGCAAAACGAACATCTTGTATTACATTTGGATATAGTAGCCAGATTACCAAACGAATATACCCTAGGTTACATATTTATTTACAAACCAAACCAGATAAGAGTCGAATTTTAAAGTTGTTCAACCAAAGTTGTTGAAAATGAAGATCGATCACATGATGGCGCAGAAATGAGGGTTTTCTTCACTAAACATCGTCAATAAAACTCGAATAAGGCCGTTCCTGACGGTACCCTTGGTCGTGTCCCTGGCACCCGTGCTTGTAGTAGTTGTAGGAACTCACTTTCTCACCATTCTCCGACATCTTGTTTCTTTTGTGGAACTTCTTCACGAAGTACCTTACGTGAAATCCATTAGACTCGGGATGGTAAGGGCGCGACCATAGGCATACGCCGCATACCTCTCTCGCTGTAATACTCCTTGCAACTCTCAGAACCTTCTTCTGCTTCGCGGAACCGTCACCGTCACTTTCTGCTGTTTCATGTCTATCTGAACATCGTGGACTCCTGTTCAATCCAAGACATTCTTATCAGTGTTCTTGGTTAACAAGAAACTAGTGTGATGAAATGTTATTACTTTGGGATTATAAATCCATCTTCATCAATTAGTTACCCTTAATGTTTTCAAGAGCTTTCCTAACTTTTTTCTCGCAGCCAGGACAGTCCATAGGCACATCCATTTCCACTACCTTCGTACACATCACACGTTCAATAAACGTATATGAGTTTTGATGAAAAATGCATAGAGGAAGTTACTCACCGTCGTCATATTTACCTTATATAGCTTACAGGACCTTATAAATTAAACTTAAGAGAGTTTGGTCGATGGATGTCTAGAAAAAAAAACACATACATATACGCATCACACAAACTAAGAACTTACTTGAGAAGATCTTTGAAGGTCCATGGAATAATAATTTTTATATATATTTTATTGCTTCTACAAAAATATCTTGTAAAAATGCATGGAAACTACCTCGAAGTCAAGATATTATGTGACCGCCAGTTTTAGAATATATATATATATATATATATGACTAAACTTGTAAAAGATGCTCATGATTTGACAGATACATTTTGTTATTTGCCAACATCATGTTATGACGATTTTTAATTTCGAAATTATGAAACTTGTTAGATACAAGAATCTAATTACGGCCTTTTTAAACTTGTCAAAACATCTTGAAAGTTGATAGAAATCAAGAATCAAAAGTTTCGAATATATTCTAAGTAAACCTAAAGTTTCGATATATTTCAATCCTAATAAACTTACAATATATATATTAATATATATAAAAAAATATTTCATGAATATATAATATATTAATTGTTGTGAATAGAAAGAAGAGATAAAAGAAATTTGTGTTATGTTATTCTAATATACACAAATAGAGGATTTTACTTGATGACAAAGTAAAACCTAACTTACAAGTAACTCTAGAACTTTATAGAAAGTGAGCTTTATGGGCTTATAATAGACATCACATAATAGTTCATAACACTTCCCCTTGATGTTCATTATACAAACTATTTTTTAAAGCGTGTAGGATGATGCCTTGTTAAAAACCTTACTAGGAAAACCCAGTAGGAAAAACCATAGCTAAGAGAAAACGAGTGCATTGCGCATTAACTCCCCCTCATGACTACATCACTTGAGATCTTTGATATGACACAATCCAATATGATGAGATAACTTCTTGAAAGTAACGCATTGGTAAATTTGTCTGTTGAATCTTCACTTGAATGAATTTGTAGGATACATACGTCGCCATTCTTCTGCAATGCATGAATCTTGATAATGATTCGTCTTGATCATTCTATTTACTTGATCTTATTAAGTATGACAAATACTTTGGAAGGGTGATAAACTTTTCATCTTTACATTTCTCTTTAGATGTCTATCATTTGTGTGTTCTTTGTTGCCTCATTAAAACTTTTTATGGAAAAATCCAATGGGATAAAAATCATGATAAGGAAAAAGAGTACGACCACACACATCATCATATTTCTCCCCCTTGGAAGTATCTTTTTCAGGAGATGCATTCCAATAATATATACCATATTTTGGTAATCATTATAAGTATAAGTTTAATGAATAAACTCATATGATTATCTGATAATCTCTTAGGTTATTGAACTCCTTGTCCATAACAACCTTTCATATAAATAACCATTTCTTGTTCTTTTGAACTTCAAGTCCAAACTTCATTTTACTTAAAACATTCTAAACTTATATAGAAACATACTTATACATAAGATGTTGTTCATGCTTTTCTTTACTATTTTAGCTTTCTTTCTTATTATACTAAATCATATCTTTCAATCATGAAATAGATAAATACATTGCTCAATTAACAATTTAAGTATTATTTAGGATCAAAAATATTGTGAGCATTCTTTATGTAAAATCCTAGAAGGATCATTTGAGATAGCATCTCTATCACTTAAATATCTCAATTTGGAACACTTGAGGACAATGTCGTCTTTTCCAAAGATTTTTCTTCCAAATTATAATTTGGGATAACTCTTCAAGAGATTTGATCCATAATCGTTTGGTAAATACATATAGAATATTGGTAGACCTTATAATATTCACTTATAACACATAAAACTTTTTTTTCTTAATTCGATGGAATAATTAGAATCTCCAGGAACATAATTTTGACAATCTTAATCCTTTTGAAATTTGTATCCTTCAATGATTATCTCCTTTTGAGAATTTCACTATCCAGTGGGTCGTATAAGTCAAGTTCTTTTCTTATTGCCAGACTGATAAGAAACTTGAAAGTAGTTGCATCCACCACATAAGATTTTATCTCTTCATAGTCAATTTCATATTTATCATTCTTTCATATAAAATCTCTTTTATATCCCATTGGTTTGACACCCTTAGGGTGCATGGACAACTGGTCCAAATACTCATCTCTTTTCAAGAAATTTTAACTTTATGACTATTGCTTCTATATAATTTGGCCAATCATTTTGTTGTGTACACTTTGCAATAGATTTTGTGATACTCTTTCTCATTTATCATATCAACTGCTACATTGCATGCAAAAATATTTACGACGTCGATTTGCTTTCGGTTCCATTTTATTCTACACATGACATAACTTGTTGAGATCGATCTCTTTATTGTCTCAGGTACCTGACTTTCTTTCTTGTCATGTTTAATGTCTCTTCTTAAGATCATTCAAAAATCTATCTTCTCAGTCTGACCATTGTAAAATTCTGCTCCTTTTCTTTTCTGAGGATATTTATGTTTGGAACCAATAAGTCTATCACGCTTCATGCGTTCTTTAAACTCTTTAGCAGTTTGATATTGTCCTTCTGGAACATTAAATTTTATTGGAGCCTTTATAGCTGGTATGTGATCTTGTCATTCTATTTGGATCAGTAAATTTATCTGGCAACTGATTTACTAAACTTTGTAAATGAATTATCTTTTGGACTTTTAATTCACTTTCTTTAGTCCGATGATCAATGATAATTCATTCCAACTTATTTTTTCCAGCTGTTTCTTTTCTCCCTCTGATTTTGGAATTACTGAAATTTTAAAATGACAGTTTATAAATCGAGCCTAATATAAATTCTTCATGGATGGACTCTACATACTTAATTATCAATGGAGATTTATATCCAACATGTATTCTCAACCTCATTTGAGGATCCATCTTATAACATTGTGGTGGAGCAACGTGGATATATACTGTACATCCAAATCATTTAGATGGAAAATATCTGGTCTCTGACCCAAAACCAGATTTGATGGGAGAACTTTGATTACTTGTTGGCTTTATACAAATTAATACTTCTGTATTTCGTGTATGAACATTTGCTGTTGGATGTTCAATATTTATCTTTATGCTTTTATCATCAAAGGCTTAAGACGCGAATTCACTAACATTACCAAGAGGTCTAGCAAACTTCAAGTTGCAGATATTCATTATAATAAATTACTTAACCACAATTTTTCCTTGTAAACTTTCTAGGAAATGAAATAGATTTCAAATATATTTTGGCTAGTGAAAATCATAATATCATATTTGTCATATGATTAAATCATTAGGAAGAATCTTCAAGTTCTTCAATGAATGTCTATAGACCTACTAATTATTTCTGCATATTTCTTGAACCGGAATGGTCTAACCAGCTCATGTTAAACTATGTTATATTCCTTAAACTTCTGGTTTACTATATAATATTTATCTCAATTATACAATCTATTAGAGAGTGTATGTAATTTTTCCAAAATACTTTTCTGCATTTAGTAATACTCAAGATTTAAAGGTATTCAAATTTTCTTTCTTTATTGTCTAAACTTGATTAACTTTGAAATCCCTTGAAGTTGCTTTATAAATGATTCATCAAGATCATTTAGACTTTGAACATAATCTTCTAGATCTTTTAGTTACTATGGCTTAGGGATTCTTAAATAATTCTTTACCAATAATTTAGGTTCATCTTTAATGTGAAAACAATCTTCTAGATGTTTCACTTACTATTAATTGTGGGATTCATCAATTTTCCTCCTCAAGATGATGACACTTCAGGTTCATCTATCTTGAATTGAATCCCAATCGAGAATAAATAAGATATACAACTTGGATCATGTCTTATATCTTTGATTCTTTTAACCTTTTGAGACTTGCGAGATATAATGCATTGCATTCCTGTAGGCAAATATATATACTCTTTTGGAGCATTAAATAATCTATATACTATCAGATCTTGTGCTCACACTAGTTTGTTTTATCTTTAGACAAGAGAAATGTCTCTTGTTTATATCATCTTTATTTTCTCACTTCTTGTGAGCATTTGAGTTATTGAAATAAAACTTTTGATCTAAAGACTTTGACCATATCCACATCATGACCACTTCTTGAGCCAGTTTCTTGACTATATTATTGACATGATTATTTGCTGTCCCACTATATAATGTCACATTCGCTTCAAGGAATGAATCATGATTAACTGGACATAATTCATGACTTTTTATCAATAGCTTATTATCTTTTCAAAATAGTTCTTAAACTTCCTTTCATAGTGTCTACAAGACAACATTATATATCTAAGGATTAGAGTATGTCTTCTAGCATCTCTAGATTAGTGATATTCTCTTCACATAAGCTTTAACATAATAAGAATTATTTACATACTTCAAGTCTTGTAATCTTATATGTAAAAACTCATAATGAGCTTTATGTAGCGTTACATTATAGTGATCATAATTTTTCTTAGATTTATGTAAAGAACTTGAGAATGTTTTACAATAAAATACAAAATATTCTTATAGATGATGGTAGAAAATAGATATTATATAACTATATATATATATATAAGCATTATTTAACAAAATTAATGGCATGTACCATCTCTATTATCACTTCAGGTGACAATTTAAGTTTCAAAAGAAATCTAAAAGAAGAAATAATTTTAAAATACTTTTCAAATATCTTTATGTTATTGTGTCTGCAAGACAATAATATTTGTGTGATGTATTCTTACATCTTTGTATTACTGGTATTATCTCTATTTATAGACTTCAAGTCATATTGTCTTTAAATGCAATCATCTAGCATAAGTTAGGTCATATCACATTCTGATGATCAAGCTTTTTCTTTAGATTGCTCTATGGTTAATAATTTGATATTAATATCATCAAAGATGTAATGATAGATAAGTATATAATCACAAAAGATATGATCTACACATATTATATAAACAAAAATAATAATATCATATAACAACTCAATCAATCAATCATTATTGATCAGTCTATATCTATCATGATATTAAACTAAATTCTCAAACAATCAATTCACCAAAAAAGATCATATGATAAAATATGTGCAAATCTCGTGATATATATAAAAAAATGATTGTTCTGTACAAAAATCGGGACATAGGTGCAAAACTCGTGTAAAATTCTAATGAATTCAAGATAAATTACCAGTGCAGAATTTAGATAATTATATGTAATATATGCGCAAACTCTCGGTTAACAATATTGAAAACAGAAACTAGTGCAGATTTTAAAACATAAATCTAGATGTGAATAATGACTTAATAAAACACATCCGTGCAAAGTTCGTGTAAAAAGATTCTGTGCAAAAATAATATGGAAAATATTCGATTTAATGAATTTGTGCAGAAACAATATATAAAATATTCGATTTGAATGAATAAGATTCAGTTTAACAAATTTCTACAAATCATGTACAGAAATAATATAAGCAATATACAATTTTAATGAATAATGTTCAGTTTAATATATTTCATGCAAACTATGTGCAAAAAAGGAAAAAAAAATAGTATATATGCATATCATATGCAGAAATAGGAATAAGAATATGTTTATAAATATCATGCAAAAATATATTAGTATAAACATATGATTTGAATCTCTACTGGAGAATTTATCATTTATAAAAATAATTATAATCTCTGTAGGAGAATTTATTATAATATCAATCATACATATAATAAATATGTAAGTTGAATCTCTACAAGAGAATTCATCATAATATTGATCATATAAATCTCTTCAAGAGAATTTATCATAATATTGATCTTGTAAAAAAAATTAATAACATAAAAGTATGATTTATATCTCTGCCGGTGACTATCATAATATTGATTAATGATTCATTTTTACAAACAATGAGTTGATAATAAACATGATTTGAAGTTGAAATAAATAAATACTAAGAAACAGATTTGTATACCTCTTAGCTCAGACAGCTAGAGTTTTGTACTGATAACGTGTTGTGAATAGAGAGAAGATTTAGAAAGAATTTGTGTTATGTTTTTCCAATGTATAAGTGATCATTTATATAGGAGTACAAAGAGAGAGTTTTACTTGATGACAAAATAAAACCTAACTTACAAATAACTTTAGAATTTTCTAAAAAGTGGACCTTATAAGCTTACAATGAACATCACATAATAGTTCATAACATTAATTGTTTTTATGGTTTTTTCAGTTTTTTTACCTCTCCAATTATTTTTTTATTCCTTATTTCGTTTTTTCTTGTGACAAATAGAAAAGAGAAAAACAATTTATTTTGTTTTTTTCTTTCAGTTTTCCCAATTTGAATATAAATATTATATTCCCAGAAACAATTTTGTCCTCTTTAGGTTTTCATTCCAAACAGAAAATATAATTCTCAATTTTAATTTGTTTATTTTTTCAGTAATATGTCTTTAACTAATAAATTTTATTTTACATGTCAAAATGTAATTGGTAGAAAACTCTCTTACACATGTATATTGAATTCAGATCGATTTGACTTGACCAATGTTGTTAACTTGTTAATTAACAAATTTGAAACATCAAAAATTTTATATAATAAGAATTTTTTTTTATTAAAAACAAAAAAAATATATGTCTAAAGACACATAACCTTAAAATATTATATCAACTGCCCTCAATTCAAACGATTATGGATGATTTCCATTAATTACGGACCTATATCTAAATTCAAACATATGAAATCGTGATTATACATAAATTGGCTTGTCGGTCTATCAATGCATACTAAGAATGGAAAGTGTTTTTTTAAAACTTCAAAAAAGAAAGGAAAGTTATTATAATTATAATTATTTTGAAGATAAGAATGGAAACTTGCCTTGCTAAAACAAATAATAAAAATTTGTTCCGCCAAAATTGATGCAAACTAGAACATCACCACAATACAGTCAACTTGCCATTAAATTAATTGCTTTCATTATAACAAATAAATCCCCTCTCCCCATTCTCACTTCTTCACAACACCACAACAATCTCCCTCAACTTACATATTTCATAAAAAACATTAAAAAGAAAATTATACTTTCGTTGTGTAATTTGATTTTTTTTCATATATTCTTGTTTATCGTATCCATCAAAACCAAGATGGTCGTGGTCGTTTCGTACTACATGTTCGTGGTTCTAACCATTATTTCAATGTTGATCTCTCAAGCCACATCACGTATTACTTTTAACGAGTCATCCATTGCTAATTATCACCAACAATGGATGATACAATTCTCTAGAGTTTATAGCAATGAATCGGAGAAACAGATGAGGCTTCAAGTGTTCAAGAAAAACATGTTGTTCATTGAAAACTTCAATAACAATGGGAATCAAAGCTACAAACTTGGTGTCAACAAGTTCACCGATTTGACTGAAGAGGAGTTCCTTGCCACCCACACCGGTCTTATTAGCATAAACGAAACCTCACCATCTGAAGTGGTTGATGAAACGATGCCATCTTCAAATTGGAACGTCAGTAATATCGTCGTCCAAAGCAAAGACTGGACACAAGAAGGAGCTGTGACACCTGTCAAATCGCAAGGAGGATGTGGTAAGCTTTCCGGAAGTATATGTTGTTATTAGTCTCTACAGATTGGAAAACAATGTAGTAAATGGCTGGATTAGTAATTTAATAATGTCGTAATTTTAACTCCACATAATATCCAAGACAGTGGTGATAATTCTAGCTAGGTTAAGGGTTACAAACATGAGATCCATCCCATGGCAATGACGTAATCAATGTATATATGGCCAGGTGCTTGTTGGGCGTTTTCGGCGATTGCAGCAGTGGAAGGTTTGACAAAAATTGCCCGGGGAAACCTTGTATCACTATCTGAACAGCAGCTTGTAGATTGCGACAGAGCACAAAACAAAGGCTGTATGGGTGGAAAAATGCCATATGCTTTCAGCTACATAGCACAACACGGAGGCATTTCTTCAGAAGACGCATACCCTTACCAAATGAAAGGAGGGCTTTGCCGGCCCAACATCGAACCCGCCATGCAGATCACAGGGTTCTATAATGTTCCACAAAATAATGAGCGTGCGTTGCTCGAGGCTGTATCGAGACAGCCCGTCTCGGTGGGAATTGCCTCGAGGTCAGCCAGTTTCATACATTACTTAAGGGGAGTGTACAGTGCACCCGACTGTGGAACCAACACAAACCATGCAGTGACATTGGTTGGGTATGGGACGAGCCCTGAAGGGATCAAGTATTGGTTGGCTAAGAATTCATGGGGTAAGAGTTGGGGAGAGAATGGTTACATTAGACTCCGTAGAGATGTGGAGTGGCCTCAAGGCATGTGTGGTCTAGCTCAGTATGCTTCTTTTCCGATTGCTTGACAAAATCTGTTAGATAATTTATATTGAACTATTCATATATTATGGAGTTTGATTTATGAATTTTCTGTTTTTTTTTTTAAAGTCGAAATAACTATAACTATATCTAGTTTGATATAAAATTATGTGATTTGGTTTCAATGTTAGGAAATCGAATTCACTAGAACATTGAAAATACAATGGAAGAGTTGTCTCTCCTAAAGTTCATTTAAAAGAAAGTAAACCAAAATAATTAAACCAAATGAATGAGAAAGTAAAATACAAGACTATATGATATTTTATTTATAATAATAACATTAATTGATATTAAACCAAATGATATATCCCCTATATATGAAGCATAATAGTAAACCATTGACAAAAAAAAACAAATTCAAAATTTGATGACAACAAAAAATACAAATAAAGAATAATGAATCAAAAAGATTAAAAAATATAAATGATGATTTACCGTCTAATATCAGACACATATATGATCAAAGACCGTACAAAAATGATAGCGGCATATAAAAAATAACTATCAATGACAAAGCAAAATGTGGCAAACATAAAATATTTGGTTTTTATATATTTGAAGCTAGATAGTGAGTTTACGTTATTTTTTTAAGTAATACTTATTTCTATATTTTAAAAAATTTAAGACGAATTATCATTAAGTAAGTCATCAGTTAGATCAAAATCTGCTATATTAAAAATTAAGACTAATCCAGTAAGTTTTTTTTATTGACCGAGAATCCAGTAAGATCTTTATTTATATTGACTGCCAAAGACTGGCTTCAGTTTGATTTCGATTAGGTTACATGTTTTTTACAAACCAACCCAAATAAAAGTCGAATTTAAAGCTGTTCCATCCATAGTTATTTATGAAAATGAAGATCGATCACATGATGGCGCAGAAATGAGGGTTTTCCTCACTAAACATAGAACTAGCGTTATCGTCGATAAAACTCGAACAAGGCCGTTCCTGACGGTATCCGTGGTCGTGTCCGTGGCATCCGTGCTTGTAGTAGTTGTAGGAACTCACTTTCTCACCATTCTCCGACGTCTTGCTTCTTTTACGGAACTTCTTCACGAAGTACCTGTCGTGAAATCCATTAGATTCGGGGTGGTAAGGGTACGACCATAGGCATACCTCCCTCGCTGTAATACTCCTTGCAACTTTCAGAACCTTCTTCTGCTTTGCGGAACCCGTCACCGTTACTTTCTGCTGTTTCATGTCTATCTGAACATCGTGGACTCCTGTTCAATTCAAGACTTTCTTTTCAGTTTTCTTTGTTAACAAGAAACTAGTTCTTGATGAAATGTTACTTTAGGATTTTGAAACCGATCTTTATCAATTAGTTACCCTTAATGTTTTCAAGAGCTTTCCTAACTTTTTTCTCGCAGCCAGGACAGTCCATAGGCACATCCATTTCCACTACCTGCGTACGTATCACATATAAAATAAACGTATATGAGTTATAATGAAAAATGAATAGAGGAAGTTACTCACCGTCGTCATCTTTACGTTATATAGTTTACAGGGACCTTATAAATTAAACTTAAGATGGTTTGGTCGATGGATGTATAGAGAAGAAAAACACATACATTTATATATATATATGCATCACACACAAAAAGAACTTTGAAGGTCCATGGAATAATATTTTTTTATATTTTGTGGCTTCCACAAAAATATCTTGTGAAAATGCATGGAAACTACCTTGAAGTCAAGATATTATGTGACCGCCGGTTTTAAAATATATATATGACTAAACTTGTAAAGGATGCTCATGTTTTGACAGATCCATTTTGTTATTTGCCAACATCATGATATGACGATTTTGTGTTACTTTAATCCCAAAAATGATATGAAACTACACATTTCTACAGAAAATTATTAGAAACTATACATATTGATATTATGATATAGCTAGTTTGTTCCAAACTAATGCAATTTATATCGTGTTAACAATTTTTTATAACAATATGGATTCATTCAAGAATTATATTTATAAATCTTATCCAATTGTGTGTATTTTCTTCCAAATAAAAATTCAGAAGTTTAATTAAGTTACTAATAAGAAATATTAAAGATCAGGCTGCATAGTAAGCAAATAATGAGCTTTGTTTCTAAAAAGATAAAAAAAAACAATGAGTTTTGTAGACATTAAACTTTATATTTAGTACTTATAAATTTGACTAAACCAGCTTATCTTTTTTCTTTCTTTTTTTTGCCTTACCTGGCAAACTTATCAATTCAGTAATATTACGATTATAATAAGTGGAAAAATTGCAAGCAGAATAATTTTTTTTTGAATACTTTGCTATTGGGAGACTATTGAATGACTTGCGCTAAAAAAGAAATTTATAAGAAATTCAATGATGATATTTTTGCATAATTAATCTATGGTAATTTGCTCAAGTAAACCCAATTTTTTTTTGGATGAAATATAATTCAGGAATCCTGGCTGAATCAAGCTCAAATTTATAATAATTATAAGGGAGCTAATAGCTAGCCCACTAAGAATTAAGTTTTCAGATTGATGAAAGTTCAAAATAAGGCTGTGTAATCTGGTAAAACTGAATTGAATTGAACTGAACTGAATGGAAATAGAACATATGGTAGAAATTTGGATCAGTGCTTAACTTCAAGATCTCCTTAGATAATAAAAAACGATGTCAAGTAGATATATTTTGGGTAAGAGTATCTCCAACTCACTTATATTTAATTTGTTCTCTAAAAATAGAGCCATAGAGGAAAAAGTAGATATATTATTTTTCCCTTTTTAATCCACTTCTGTTTTAGAGGAAAAAGTAACAATTTATATTTTTTTTTAATATAGAGATTTTTCTATAAAATAAAAGTGGGTTGTAGAAAAATCTACTTTTATTTTAGAATTTTTATATTTTTTAAAAAAATATAAAAAATTATATTAGAAATGATTTAAGCAAGAATCAAGTATTTGATGGTGGTGGATAATATTACAAGAGTAAAAGACAGAATTGGGTGAGGAGAGAGCCAAAATGGATTTTTTACGGTCAAGAGTGCATATGCTCTTCTCAGTCGACAGGTGGAAGCACACCCCAATATGCAGAGTTTGTATGATAGAGTTTGACATGTCATAGCACCAGAGAGAATAAGAGTTTTCATATGGCTCGTGGTACAACATGTTATTCTGACCAATATGCACTACAAAAAAACAGCCCTTTTGCGTCGAAAATTTGCGACGACGAACGGTGGTCGCAATTTGCGACGTGTTTGCGACGGATTTGTCAGAGAAAAATAGTGTCTCGCTAATCCGTCGCAATTTGCAACACCAAAAGCCCGTCGCAAACTGACTGCAGCTTTGCGACGATATTGCGACGAACTTGCAACTGATAGAGGTAATTGCGACGAACAAGGCGGTCGCAAAGTATGTCGCAATTTGCGACGGGATAGTGAAGAAGAAATTCTGTTGCAACTTTGCGACCAACTTGCGACGAATTTGCGTGGATACTCAAAGTAGGTGAACTACGTTTTACTCCCTTCCCACCAGCCTAAGTAGTTAGGTACGGAGTCGCAAATCAGTCGGTTATGTGTCACAAATCTATCGCAAATTGCTCGTAATATTTTATGATGTCGCAAATCTGTCGCATTCGTCCGTCGCGAGGCCGTCGCAAAATTTCTGAATGTCTATAAATAGCCTTCGGGAGTTAGTGAAACAATCACAACAGAAAAAAAGAAAGAAAGAACGAAAGAAAGAAAGAAAAAAAGAAAGAAAAAAGAAAGAAAAGTAAAGAAAAAAATCTTATAGTGTTAAAAAAATAAGAAAATGATAGATTTTTAAAAAGAGAGAAAAGAGAAGTGAGAAAGAAATATTGAGAGAATGTCTTCAGAGCATATCATATATGCGTTACGATCGTGGATGTACAATCATCGAGATCCAGAGACCGGCGAGGTGACGAAAGAGTTTCCGGATGGGTTTCGAGCATTCTTATATCAGGCGATAAACCAATCATTTGCAAGAGAAAACGGTAAAATATTCTGTCCATGTAGGAAGTGCAAGAATGTGCCATATTTAGAAATTGATACCGTGAAGAAGCATGTATATAATAGAGGATTTATGCCAAACTATTATGTATGGTTTTTGCATGGGGAAGATAGTAGTGTTGCTACGGTTGGAAGTAGTAGTATGGGTCAGGGTTTAGAGCAGCCCAATTATAATGTTGATTATGAACATTATGGGCAAAATATATTTGGAAATGTAGATGAAGGGTATCAACAAGGGAATAGGTTTCATGATATGGTTGTAGATGCAATGCATGAAGCTCCAGCAACCTCATTTGTTGATAATATTAGGGAAGAACTCAACGTAGATGCAAAAATGTTTTATGATATGTTAGATGCTGCTAATGAGCCTATCTACGATGGATGTAGAGAAGGGCAGTTGAAACTGTCATTGGCATCTAGGATGATGACAATTAAAACTGATAATAATCTCTCTGAGGTTTGCATAGATTCGTGGGCTCAACTTTTCAAAGAGTACTTACCGGCTGATAATCTTTCTGCTGAGAATTATTATAAAATACAGAGGTTGGTTGCGGGTCTTGGCTTACCATCAGAAATGATTGATGTATGCATTGACAATTGCATGATATTCTGGAAAGACGACGACAAGCTGCAGGAATGTCGATTTTGTGGGAAGCCGAGATATCAAGAAACTACTGGAAGAACTCGGGTTCCATACCAACGTATGTGGTACCTGCCAATCACTGAAAGATTGAAGCGGCTATACCACTCAGAAAGGACGGCGTCGGCAATGAGATGGCATGCAGAACATTCCACAGAGGATGGAGAGGTTACACATCCTTCAGATGCAAAGGCGTGGAAGCACTTTCAGACAGTATATTCAGACTTTGCTATTGTGGTTAGAAATGTCTACCTTGGTTTATGTACTGATGGATTTACTCCATTTGGTATGTCTAGGTGACAATATTCTCTATGGCCTTTCATCTTGACACCATACAATCTTCCTCCCGATATATGCATGCAAAGAGAATTTTTGTTTATGAGTATTCTAGTTCCTGGTCCTAAGCATCCAAAGCGCGCACTTGATGTGTTCTTACAGCCTCTGATTCATGAGTTGAAACAGTTATGGCATTTTGGTGTTCGCACATTTGACAACTCGCAGCAACGGAACTTCAACATGCGTGCAGTGTTATTGTGGACTATCAGTGACTTTCCAGCGTATGGAATGTTGTCAGGGTGGACTACGCATGGAAGATTATCTTGTCCATATTGTCTGTATAGTTCAGATGCGTTTCAACTAAAGAATGGAAGAAAGCCATGTTGGTTTGATTGTCATCGTAGATTTCTGCTGGTGAGTCATACATACCGGAATAACAAGAGGTTGTTTAGGAGGAAAAAGGTTGTGCGTATCCCTCCCCCCGTTTATCCAGCATACAATGAATTGTATGAGCAAATTGAATACTATGGTGCACAGGAAACGTGTAAAGTAGGGGGAAATTGGCACACACCAGCTAACATGCCTGACGGATATACCATATCTCATAATTGGCATAAAAAGAGTATCTTCTGGGAGCTTCCGTATTGGCAGAATCTTCTCTTACAACACAATCTTGATGTGATGCATATCGAGAAATTTTTTTTTGATAACATTGCCAATACAATCTTGAATGTCAAGGGAAGGAGCAAAGACAATTTGAAGTCAAGGTTGGACTTGCCTGAACTATGTATAAGACCTGAGTTGCATATTACAAGCAAGGGAAAATTACTTGTTCCATACTTTTGATTGTCCGGAGAGGCAAAGCGGGCGTTATTGGAGTGGGTTGATTCTGATGTTAAGTTTCCAGATGGATATGTGTCCAAATTCTCAAGATGTGTTGAGCAAGGCCAGAAATTTTCAGGCATGAAGAGCCATGACTGCCATGTATTCATGCAGCGACTGCTACCGTTTGCACTAACCGAGCTCTTGTCAAAACAAAGCCATGAAGCTATTGCAGGTAAAATAAGAAAAAAAAATTATATAATGTTCTTTTTATAAGTGATTAAGACTATTAATTAACGCTTATTTCTGTAAGTTATTAACTATATATATATATCTTCATGTAGGCATTGGAGCTTTTTTTAGGGATTTATGCACCCGGACATTGACTGAGGAGGGCATCGCCCAACTGGAAGAGAATATCGCCGTGTTGCTTTGTAACCTAGAAAAGGTTTTCCCTCCTTCATTTTTTGATGTCATGGAACATCTGCCAATCCATCTACCATATGAAGCAGCGCTCGGGGGGCCTGTGCAATTCCGATGGATGTACCCGTTTGGCGATTCATGGGACATCTTAAAAGGAAGGCTAAAAATCTTGCTAAGGTGGAGGGATCGATTGTTGCTGGAAGTTTAACCGAGGAAACTTCTCACTTCACCTCATGCTACTTCAGTTCAACGGTGCGGACGAAAAAGACCGCCACTAAGCGATATGATGATGGAGGGGAAGCACCGACTTATCATGTTGACGTGCCAGATATGTTTGCTCAGATAGGTAGACTTGCTGGAAAAGTTCAGGAAGTTTGGTGGGAG